TTTATAACCGTCGAAACGTTTTGTCCCGTTACTTGAGCTCTGAATGTTTTTTTTTCTCATTTTTGACGTATAAGATCTCGAAGTATAAACAAACATATTTGACGGCTAGATTACTGAAACTAGTTTCCTAGAATGCGTATTCCATAAAAACACAATATTCATAAAAACTGAATAATTTCTTTATACATTCCTTCAGTCAAACATACGATTATGTGATGTCTTGTACTGTAAATATCTGAAATTGAAGATCGAATTACATCTCTGTATTCATATAGGGTCAAGAACCGCAGCTGTAAAAAATTTTCAAGATCGGAGTTAAAATCACCGTTGAATCGGGACAATTTGTTTACAACCGTCGAAACGTTTTGTCCCGTTACTCAATCTCTGAATGTTCATTCATTATGATTTTTGACGTATACGATCTTGAACTATGAAAAAAGAAGATTGCCGGTTGGATCATTGAAACTAGTTCAGGAGTTCGGGTTTAGGGCTTAGGGTACAGGTTTTAGGGTTTAGGGTACTAGGGTATGGTTTTGCGCGACGAATAGACGCTTACGCGTCGCGCAAACCATATGCGACAAACATAATCCATTCGTCGCGCAAAATCATTAATAAATTCGCTCCCCTCTCAGCTCCAGCACTTGGTGAAATTTTTTTTGGCAAAAGCCAGTTTGCGCGACGAATACACACCCATTCGTCGTGCAAAATCAATAAAAAAATTTCCCTCCCCTCTCCGCTCCAGCACTTAGTGAAATTTTTTTATCAAAAGCCAGTTTGCGCGACGAACTCGTGCCCAGTCGTCGCGCAAAATTTTTTAGGCAACAGCTAGCATGTGCGACGAAATTGGCATTCGTCGCGTAATCTCATTGCATTGATTTTTCCCGCGCAAAATCAAATCCCAAAATTTTGGGCGGCTGGACAAGTATGCGCGACGACAGTAGTTTTTTCGTCGCGCAAGGTATATCTGTTCACAACTTTGCGTGACGAAATCAAGTTTTTTAGTCGCGCAAAGGTCAAATTTTTATAATATTGCGCGACGAAAAGTTTATTTTTGCGTCGCGCAAAGGTTATTTTAATGAAGTTTGCGCGACGGATATCTTTATTCGTCGCGCAAAGTCGAATAAGTTTTCTGAAAATCGCGATCTTCTCCTTCCCCAATTTCTGAAACCTAACCCTAAAACCTCCCAAATCTCTCCGCCGTGACCTCAGCCCCTAATCCGCCCCAAATCAGACCCTGCCGCCGCCACCGTCGAACCCAGGAGCTTCTCCGCCGTGGCCGTCCATCCTGCCGCCGTGAATTGCTCCGTTTAGGCCGAATCTCCGCCGCCGTTGTTCTCTCTCCTCCGGGCACCAAATCCGGCAATTGAGGTATGCTTTCTGGGCTATTTTTCATGCTCTAGCTGATGGTTGTGTAGGATTTGATTGATTGTGTGCATAGGGTAGTCAATTTGAAACCCTAGGTTTCGGCCGGTTTTGAAATTGAAATTCCGGCCACTTCCGTCCGTTTTTCGGGGTAGGTCCGAGAACAAAAGTGCCTCCAATTGATGTTTTCAACCTAGGGTAGGAACATTGGCCCTTAATTTTTTGGATTTCCCGGTGATTGTTATCGCTTAGGGCACCCACGCGCTGCCGGCGCGTGTGGTGGCGCGTGGGGTACTGTGCCATAGGGCATTTTGTCCCAGTGCAAACATTTCGTTGTCACGAGCGCGTAGGTGTGCTCGGATTGGAATTTGGTTATCGTTTGAGTCTCGAACGGTTCGAACCTATTGTGCGATTTTAGGGTTTGATATGTTCGGACCGTTGGATCGAGCTGAAACTCACGTATGTGGTACCATGTATTTATAGGATCGTTTAGGAATCGACGGATTGTGGATCGGAGTCCCGGATACTCCCAAATCGCAAACCCTAGGTCAAACTATGATTTTAATTAGTTAGTTCAATTTTTTACTGACATTGTATGTGCTACATTGGATTAATGAAATTGTGCAGATGTCAGACTTGATTAGACGTCGTAGGGCGGTGACGGCTACACCGAGTTCGGAGCCCCCGGCTCAGCCGGTATCAGCTGCCACTGCTCCAGCACTGATGGAGCAGGACCACGTGCTAGCTGGTCCTGGGGGATCCCAGGCGGCTGCATCATCATCTTCTTCGGTGGTGCAGCCTCTTAGCGCTAGGCGGCGACACCGGCCCGCTACCACCACCGACACCACATCCACTGATTGTACTGGTGCCTCGGGGGCACCTACAGGTAATACCCTTCCCCTTTCATTTTTTTTTAAACATTTTTTTAATTGGGAATTTTATGGTTCAATTTGATTGTATATGTAACAATATTGTCATATCCCTTTGCAACCAAGAGGAACACCCGAGGGCCGTGTCGGCAGCTGAAGACGGCGAAGGTCACCCGGTGACCAACAGTCGTATCAGCATCGGATATGACGAGCGCCATCGGGCTGCACCGACGGCGGACTTGCATAGCTCCTTGGCCCACGACATTGGCCACGTCGTTCGGACCCATTGCCCGATGCAATGGAAGTCTTGGAAGGTCATACCTGACGAGATCAAGATGCAAGTTCGCGGCCAGTTGTCGGTATTTTTCCTATCTTTTAATTATTTTTCTTTCAAACTTTATATATTTCTATTACTTAATGTATGTAATCAATTTATTGCAGACGAACTACGACTTAGAGGACATCAACGAGGAGACTTTGGCGTACGTCAACAGACTCTTCGGTGAGAGGTACAAGCAGTGGAAGAGCGACTTGCACCACCATTTCCAGGCGTTTGATGATCCGGAAGTCGCTCTTCAGGAGGGTTGCCCGAAGGAGCTTGAGGGGCGGGAGGATAGTTGGGCGTGGCTCTGCGCTCATTTTCAGGCGCCCGATTATGTGGTATTTTTTTAATAATATTTGTTTAATGTTTATTTTATTTTTTATATCTCATTATTATTTAATTTATTTATAGTTCAATTATTACGTTTTATTTTTTGTATAACAGAATAAAGCCCAAGTGAATAAGGGCAATAGGAAGAAGAAGACTCTTCTTCACCATTCCGGCTCCAGGCCCTTCTCATATAGGATGGATGCACGGCGTCGGGTAAGAATAATATAATTTATATTTAATTTTTAATACGTCATTATTATTAATTTCTTTTGTTCATACTAATATTTTTCTTCTCTTGTTCAATTAAGGGGGGGTCGAAATTCCCAGAGATCGACGTCTTTGGTGACGTTTATGTTCGACCTGGGAATGAGTTGGCCGAGTCCCTTCATGTAAGTATTATGTATTTTTAATTCTTATGTTACACTTTCAATTTATATGCATTTTTGAATTTATATTTTATGTAATGTTAAACAGACGACGATGGTGGAGAGGAGCCAGTTGGTTCTTCAAGAGTCCGCCTCCCAACTTCCTCCCGAGACTCCGATCGAGTCTGTGGATCCTCCGCATGATGCTGGATTTCAGATTTTGACGCAGACGTTGGATCAGACTCTCGGAGGAGGCCGGGAACGTATTGTAGGGGGATGGGGAATGCCCGACAGAGGGAACCTCGACCGCGGTCATCGTCGCAGGCAAACAGTCAGGTGACTGTTTTGACATCGCGGGTTGCCGAGCTTGAGGGTCAGATGTCGGTGATTCTGCAGTCCCTTGCGCGGTCCGGCATTCCAATCCCGAATTTTGGTGCGTCGACCTCCGAGCCCGTCCACCCCGAGCATCCCCAGCACACCACGGCCCCTGCAGACACCCATACCTCCGAGCCGCATGTGGCAGATGACCAAGTAGATTTTGGAACATTATTTGATTAGTTTTTTATTTTTATAATTACTTTTACAATTTGTATACATTTATTTTATTTTATATAATAGATGTTTTCTTTATGATTAATTTTTTTTATTGTAATTTCATTTTAATTATAAAAAAAAACCAAATTTTTTTTTACAAAATTAAAAATCAAATAATAATAAATTTTTTTTTAAATAACAAATCGACAAATATATTTTAATCTTGCGCGACGAATAATTTCGTTGCGCAAAATGTGTATGCGCGACGAATAAGATTTCGTCGCGCAAGGTTAATGTAGCTCTTCCGTCGCGCAGTTTTTTTTTGTGACGACCACTATTTCGTCGCGCAAATATTTGTGCGACGGACAATGAGGTCGTCCCGAAATGTTTTTTGAAACGAAGTTGTTATACGTAGCGCAAACTGCGCGACGAATGACATTTGTTTGTCGCGCAAATCCTTTCTTCACGAACTTTGCGCGACGGACTGTGCGCGACGAAACTTCTGTCGCGCATAATGATGTGCGACTAAAATCATTTTTGCGCGACGAATACCCTTTCGTCGCGCAAAGACTAAAATGTAGTAGTGTCAAAAAATAAATGGTTAATAGTCAACAAGTGATTATTACAAAGAGGGCACTCAGGATTGATATTAGGTAAATATTTGTGTAAGTGACTTCTAATTTGTAATATTTTCCAAATAAATAACCAAGCAAAGAGCTTGACTTTGGGGGGCAGAGTTAAACTCCACATTTTCTTTAGTAAGGGAGCTCTAGGATGGGAAGGCTCATCCTGTAACTGAAGGTTATAAGCAAATTTGATGGAAAAATTTCCATTGGGGTTGGGCCTCCAGATTAACCCATCCAACAGTGGAGAAAGAGGGAAGGGGATAGCTAGAATTCTTTCCAGAATGTCTTCATCAACTTCTTAAAGTAGCTTATCACGTTGCCAAACCTGGTTCTGAATAAAATCTGCAACTTTAGCATTCAAGTTAATATTGTTTCCCAAAAACATAGGAATTAAATCTAGCAAAGGAAAGGGGAAAACCCAATTTGCAGTCCGGAAGAGGATGGATTGACCATTACCAACAATCCATCTCAAACCTTTATGCAGTACAGTACGAGCTTCAAGGATGGCCTTCCAAGTTAAAGAATGAGAAGTATTTTTGCGGACAAAAAGAAAACAATCTTTTCTTAAGTACTTCTTAGTCATGATTTGAGCCTACCACTTGGTAGGATCAGACAGACAGATCCGGCCTAATTTAGCTAAAGTCGCCTTGTTAAAATGAGCAGCAGATCTAACCCCTAGACCCCCTAAATGTTTAGGCAAACAAATATCTTTCCAAGAAACTAGGGTGACCTTAATACCACTACCCTAGAAAAAACGCCTACTACAAGCATTCAATTCCTTACAAACTTCTTTGGGACACTTGAAACAGGAAAGGGTATAGTTAGGAATACTAGAAGCACTAGCCTTAATTAAGGTGAGACGACCAGCTTTAGATAACGTTTGAGCCTTCCAACCTGCAAACTTTGATCGAATTCTTTCCATCATCATTTTGGCATTAGCTGGATCTTTCCAGAAGATAATATTGTGGATGCCAAGGTAGCGCCCTAAGGTGGCCTTATGTTGAATCTGCATAAGATTACTTAGGGCAGTTCTAACTTGTGAGTGAACATTTCTAGAGAAGTAAACAGTGGATTTATGTAAGTTAATTTTCTGACCAGAGACTTTAGAATTTTTTTCTAATAAAGTGTTGATATTTCTGGCAGCCACAACAGTAGCCCTGGCAAAAATAAGACAATCATCAGCAAAAACCAAGTTAGAGATTTGATCACCTCCAAGGGAATAGAACAAACCCACATTAGATTTAGGATTCTTAGCAAGAATATTGAAATGCCTAATAAAAAGCCCCATATACAGGATAAAAATATAAGGAGATAAAGGATCTCCTTGCCAAATTCCCCTAGAGGCACTGAAATGACCATAGGGAGGACCATTAATAAGCAAGGAGAATGAAGTACTAGAAACACAATTCATAATTTGATCACACCACCCAGGACTGAAACCAAATTGGGATAGGCAACCTCGAATAAACCCCTAGTCAAGGAGGTTCTAGGCCTTTTCAAGGTCGAGTTTGATAGCCATAGCTCCCTGAGAACCTTTCTTTCATTTAAAATCATGGAATAATTCATGAGCAATAAGGATGTTGTCGAACATAGATCTACCTGGAGCAAAAGCTCCCTAGTTTTTGGAAATACATTTTGAAAGTAAGGGTTTGAGCCGATTAACAAGAATTTTAGTGATAATTTTATAAGAAACATTGCATAAACTAATGGGCCTATAATGATTAATAGTCTTAGGGGAGTCCACTTTAGGAATAAGGGCTATGTTGGTGTGATTAACATCCTGCAAAGGAATATTATTGGTGAAGAAATCATTGACTAGGTCTTTAACTATTAACTTAGTATTCTCCAAGCACCTTTGGTAGAAGACTACTTGCAAGCCATCAGGGCCAAGGGCTTTAAGAGGTCCTATACCCTTAACAGCACGTTCTAGTTCAAAGTTTGTGACAGGAGCCAACAGATTCACGTTATCTTGGCTAGTGACATAAGGCTCGATCATGTGGAGAAAATCAGCCATTAGAAGAGGATTGGGAGCTTGCTTAGCCGTGAATCTGAGTTTGAAAGCTTTAATAAAGGTATGATGGAGGACATCCCCCTCAACCCAAAGCCCATTAGGATCCCTAATTCTAATAATTTGATTTCGTTTCCTTCTAATGAGAGCTTGGGTGTGAAAATATTTGGTGTTTTTGTCACCAAGCTGGAGCCAATTAGCTCTATCTTTCTGGGCATAGAAAACTTCTTCTTGCTCAAGCAAAATCTTCAAATCAGTATTTAACTTGAGGTCTTTGTCTAAGAGATAAAGGTTGTAGGGATTCTGGGCCAACTGTTCTTGGATAAGAAGTAAATTCCCTTGGGTTAATCTAAGTTTTTGGAACAGATCTCCAAAAACATTTTTGTTTCAAGATTTTAGTTTATGTTTGAAGGTTCTACAGCACGATTGGATTTTCTGAGCAGCATTCCCACTGTAAGAATTATTCCAGGTTTGGGTGACCACTGTATCAAAATCTCTATGAGCTAACCACATGGCTTCAAATCTAAAGGCTTTTGGGACTCTTCTAAGGGTGTCATTACACGTGAGAAGGATGGGACCATGGTTTGATTTTAGAATAGGAAGATTTTGGAGCTCAGAATTGGGGAAAAGTATCATCCACTCAGGGTTAACAAGAGCCCAATCTAATCTTTCATAGATAACAGAATTATCATGATGCCCATTGCACCAAGTGAAAGGAACATCGGAAGCGTTCATAGTAAACACTTCACAATCATTGAGAAATTTATTAAACTTTATCATGGCTGGAGTAAACACCTGAGATCCTCCCATTTTTTCATTTAAGGAGCATATATTATTGAAGTCTACTAGAAGAAGCCAAGGGATATTGGACACTGGTTTTAAGGATATAAGATCTGTCCACAGAGTCTCTTGCTTAGCTTTTCGAGGGTAGGCATAGACGAAGGTAGTTAACCATACCTTCTTAGTAGATTACTCTTGAATCTCACAATGAATATAATGCTCATGGTAATTTAAAATACTTATATTTAACATAGAAGGGTTCCACATCAAGATAATCCCCCCACATTGTCCTATGGAGGGGATACAAAAACTACTACTAAAACCTAACCTCTGGACCAAGCGATCAACTTGATCCCGAGAGGCTCTAGAGTCCACAATACAAAAGAGATCTAAGCAAAAGATACTAATATAAAATAGGAATTGCAGAACGAAACCACTCCAGGCATTGCCTCGACAATTCTAGCTTAAGAGCTTCATGGATTTGGATTATCAACTCCTATAGCAGAGGGGTTAAAGACCCCCAGGATTTCTACACTCAATTATGAATTTTCCTGGACTTCTTCAAAGAGCTCTCTAGCTCTTTTCTTAGGGCTTTTGAAAGCAGTAGCAGCAGAAATACTATTTTCCTCCTGAGAAAGGCCTGGATTAGACATCAAATTCTTCCCTTTGTCCACCCTGCTTGGCCCGGCTTCCTTGAAATAAACTTTGGGGATAGGACTAGAAACCTCATTAGCAATACGAATACCTCTCGCCATTTCGTTGAAAGTTCTGCCATTTCTCACCGCACTTTTTGCCTTCCCTTTGCGGTTAGAGACCACAGTCCAGCCAACATCCTTTTCTTCATTGTTCTGCATAAACCCTTCCTCAACTTCCTCACCATTATAATTTTTATGAATATCTTCAACCGTAATGGGCTAAGGGAAGACAAGGATCATGTCCTCCTGCAGCTTCCTTTGGTCCTCTTCATCCAGAATTAAGTCTCTGAGAAAGAAGTTAGGCTCATTGTTCAACCTCTCCACTTGGAGATAGTTCTTATTAGAGATTTTGATAGGGCACACATGACCTGGTTCCTTCTTTTGGCTAAAGTAAAAACATATTGCAAAATGGGCCTCATAACTAATATAAATACGGGTTTCCTTAGGGTCATCTCCAAGGATTAGGCACCTCTTCAAAGGCTTGGTTAAATCCACCTCCAAGCAAACATGAACAAACATGCTTTGCTTCCCAACCATGGAAGCTTGGTCAATGCTAATAGTGGTTCCAAGTATGGAGACCAAATCACTAAGCACATCGGGATCCTTCTAATGAAGCAGTAGGGAAGGGATTCTAGCCCAACAAACAATGGACTCGACTAAGGCATGGAACGAAGAGAAATCAGGCTTCCATCTTTGAAGAGCAAAGATTTGACCCTGGACAAACCAAGGTCTGTGCTTCAGCACATAATCCACATCCTCCTCAGAGTAAAACTCGATCTTATACCAATCTCTGCCAATGTGATCAACAAAGACTTCTTCCTGCAGGTTTTTCCAGTCACTTTTCAGACGGTTCCCGATGGCCCTCCTGGGGACAGGCACACCAAAGACCTTCCCAACCAAATAGAAGGATTCAAAGTGACTATGGACACTAGAGGTAAGGGCAGTGGTGGAGACCCTAGTCTCGTTGTTTTCCATGGTGAAGGTAAAGTGGCCTTTATGGATGGTGGTGGTTTCAAGCGGAGCATTCCTCCTGGGGTTGGGGTGAAGTCTAGGACTTGAGTTACGTGATCTAAGAGGGGAAGAGTTGGAACAATTTGGGGATTCATGGTGAAATAGAATCAAGCAACAAAGTCGCAACAATGAGATAATTGAATAACTTGAACGGAGATTACTATCCACATCGAAGGCATGGTATGAATAGAGCTTTCAATCAGGTGATCATGATTGCTACACAAGCAAAACAGCCAATGCATGTTAGAGTTATTAAGTGATAAAGAAGAAACTTCCCCAGAGTCTAGAGAGCACCAACCAAGCTCAGTGCACGCCCCAAACCTCAGTTGGTTTAACCAGAATATCAAGTCATTGATGTTCTTCAGTTAATCTTGGCCATTAGATTGGGTTAAGATTAGATAAAATAAAATCAAGTAATGATTAAGTTATTTTAAAATAGCATAAAAACAGTAGATTAGATCCCTTCCCCAATCATGGCCATCCGGTGCACTCTCGAGAGGATCAAACGACGCCATCGAGCTTTTCACCTCCAACTCTTGGAAAGCTTCCTCACCTTTCCAAGGAAGGATCATGTATTTCCAGCCAAGATTCATTGAGTGTTTCTTGTCTGATTGCGAGTCCCTAAGTATGCCACGCCCGCACTGACAGAGACGAAGTCTGTTGAGATACCCGGCCAATTCTAGTGAACAATGGATTTCCTCCTCCTTCCGATGCCTTTTTCTCTTTCTAATCTTCCAGATCCCCAAATTTTTGAGTTCCAATTGTGCCCTAGTTCCTTTTCCCTCTTTCCCTCTCCAGAGCTTCTCTCTCTTCATGTTCACTCTCTCTTTAATTTGACCTTTAATTAGTTTAGTTGGGAGTTCAAGTCAAGACTCGGAGAGCTAGGTCTAACCCCCCCCCCCCCACCACCCCAAACAAAAAAAAAAAAAAAAAAAAAAAAAAAACTAGTTGACAGGAAACAAAATCCAAAACAGTGGAGACAAGAAATATAATTGGAAAAATAGTAGGTGAAAGTTGATTAAGATGCTATTGAGCATTAACGTCAACCGAAAAGGGTGGAGATGAATTTAACTAGACAGCAGCTACAACCATAGTTGTCCAGGGCAACAAACTTTCTTATGCTGCCTCCCCCTCTAAACTTCTATCATAAACAGTAACTAGACATTGCTTGTTTATTTGTTTAAGAGAGCTCTCAAAGCAAAGCATGCCAAGCTAGCCCTAGCTAGCAGCCAAGGCCTCATAGCCAACTAGTACTCGAGGACTTTTCGACATTGATCACAAACCGATACCTGACATTGGATTTGGCAAGTCGTTCCATAGCTGTTTTAATGTAATCCATTGGGTTGAGCTCAATGACGTGCCAAGATTACAAAATGTTTATAGAAATTGTTCATTATTGGTTCATGTTTAATACGAAGTTTTTGAGGTCTGTCATATCAAAGATCTTGGTTCAATTCTTGTTCTCACCACGGCCGACAGTGAGATTTTAAAGGTCAATTTGAAACTTAAACTACGGCCATCACATTATCTAACATGAAATGAGCACAACTATCTTCCACGAAGACATGCCTAGTCTAGTGGTTTGGTGTGGTAATTTTGTTTGACTGGTCATGAGTTTGATATTCTTGGGGCCATTTATTGAGAAATTAGTAGCGTGATAAACCACTTCCTTGGACGCACAATGTGTAATTATATTGTGTGCTTATATATTAGAAAATACACATGAAAAGAATTTGGGGGGCCGAAAGTTGGGGACCCTATGCGGTGGCACCACCCCATGGCCGACCTTGCTTCTCACTCTTGCAGGATACATACATCATTGTGCGACTGAAATTGAATAGGGGAACTCCAAAGCACCTACATGTAAATTATGTAAGTGTGTACATATGTATATATAAATTTTTCTCTAATGTGGAAGTCTGGTATATTTCAAATGAAACGAAGCCATCCATTTTGTTTTGTGTATTTATCTTCTTCTCAATATTCCTTTCATAAAAAAATGGCCTTGAAGCACATAAAACAGCCTCCAAGTTCTCCATATAGGCCACCAATGAAGGAAAAGCCTGTTTGGTGGTGATGTTTTATTTTTTATTACTAGTGACAGTCTAAATTAATTTAATTTATGAAAAAAGAAGATTCAAATTTGGAGGGGACGAGTTCATCGCTTTGACAAACTAGTGGTGATGTTAGTCACAAGAAAAGTGACTTGCAAGAGCATCAACACCGTGACATGTGTCACCACCACAGTGACTTGCAAGAGTCCCACATCGAAATTCTATGCAAACCTCCCACTTTCACCTCCCTATAAATAGGGAGTAGTATCATGTGAAAAGGGGACTTCCTCTCTCCACTTAGAAAAGGATCCGGGCCTCAGAGCTAGACCCTAGGGCCGGGGACTCTCTTCTAAATCCCTGGCTTGGGCATCTCACTTGTCATCTTTATATTCGGGTCCAACCCCATGTACAAATGTAATCATACACTATTATAATGAGAACATACTTCTCCGTGGACGTAGCCCATTCATTAAGGGTGAACCACGTATATCTTATCTTCTTCACATTTATCGCTTGCCCAAGTCTTTACATATATGCTTAAGGTCCTCACCTTCCTCCATCATCCATCACACCTCATCACTAAGTTGGACTCAATCTTGGCCCAACCATTTTGAGCATCAACAATTAGTTTTTTAGTTGGTTTAGCAGCACAAATAATGCAAAAAATAATAACAAAAACATTAGTCTGGTCATTGAAAAAAATAAGAACATCCGCATTAGACGACTACATAAATCTATATTTTTTTTTTTTCCATGACCACATAAATCTATAGTGTAGTAGTCTTTGTTTGGGCCTAAATTAGCACGTCCAGCCCAACAAGAGGAAACCCAAGATCCAGAAAGGCCTAGCCCAAACCAGACCAATAGACTCGGGCCTTAAAAGAAAATCACCTCTTGGGCCCCAAACAAAATAAGCCCAACACGATTTGGATAAAGAAAGGGACCCATCCTAGAACCCACGTGACATTTTTGTATTATCAAGTTTGGAAAAGTCAACAAAACCAACTAGCACAGAGTTGATAAATGGAAGGGTCAGTGGCTGGCAAACTGGAAGGGACACCTCTGAAAATCTGAAGATCAAATCCCTCTTATATATATATATATATATTCAGAGATTTTTTCTACTTTACAGAGAAGGTGATTCTCCCAAGAGATAAGCAAGCTACAATCTCAGAAAGAGATAAGCAGGAAAGCAGGGAGTTGTTCAAACTAAAGAAATCAAACTAACCATCACGGATGAAATCTCACAAGGGGCAGTTAAAATTGGGAAAGGAGATTAGGTTTTCTTTAAAAAAAAAAAAAGAACAGAGAAGTGATCTTAAGGATTGATTGATGAGAGCCTATCTGACAAAATTTTAAACTCTTCTCTCTTGTATTTCTTTCTAGATTTTTAAAAGATTTGCCGGCCATTATTTTAAGAAAGAAACCTTAAACCTAAACATCTCTTATAAATAGAGGAGAGGGTGAACAGGTTCAAGGACACTCAATTCAACAACAATCAATAAAAAACGATCAAACAAACAAACAACTCAAAAATCAACCAAAAAGCCCACTTGAATTCCAAGTGAAACCAGCTTCATATCAGAATTCCCAAGGTTCAGACTTAGAAAAAAGTCAATCAAAACGAGATTTCTCTCGTTACAAATTTGGTTCAGCAAAGAGTCAAGACAGGTAGAGCTTGAGCTTTTCCCAAACATGAAAACCTCAACAAATTTCACAGTGCAGTCTCTAGCCCACTGAAGTCCTCGAGAACAGCCCCTTCTGCCCACTCAAAAGCCTCACAAAAGCTTGAAGTACATTAAAGCTCTGCCAGAATTAACCTTTGGTATCGATTTACAGCTGAAGCTTAGCAGTTGAAGTTGTCAACAATCCAGTCTAGCCCAGACATTTCTAGCCCAGCCCGGATCAGAGCCTCCTATCCAGACAGAAATGAATTTCCAGCTGTCCTTTCATCTTTCTAGCATGGATATTTATTTTTATAGTTCTGTAAAAGGCAGTTCTGCCTGAGACAGTTTAAATTCCATCAACCATTCTGGCCAGAACAACCTCTTTATACTGAGATAAATTGTTAAAGTCCTCACCAGTCTGAGGCAAGAAAAGAACTTGGGAGATATTCCTCACCCAAATTCACAATCGTTTGTTTGCAGAAATCAGTAACTTGGGGCGCAAGTTATCCATTCTAAACTAAGTCTTCTAGAATCTTCATTGCTAGTAGTGGCATGCTCGCACACCAAAGAAAGCTGACTTGTTGACCAGTCAATGGTTCACAAGGCAGTGAGGAACTTTGTCCTTCCACCACAGGAGTAAACGCAAAACAGGTGAACAGTCTTTTTTCCAAATGAATGACATTATGTTATTAAACTATCAATTGAGACTAATCTCCCAACATAACATGTCAAATTATTTGACAAGAGAATTTTTCACTTCAAGAACACAACGTTTAGGATTGTGGTGCTTGGTTGAGAGAGATGTGCAAGTTTGTGAGTTCGGGTTCTTGAAACATAACTTTTCACTAATCTGTTTTTTATTTTTTGCCAAAGACTCTTCATTCTTTACTCGTTACTTCTTGATGGCATGTTTATTAATTAGTAATTGGATTAAGAGGAATTAAATTGACGATGAATTGAATTGAGGAGGAGTTGGATTGAGGAGAATTAGATTCCGAATTTCTATTCAAGTTGTTTACTAAACGATATGGATTGAAGGGATTTAAATTCCGGATTCCTATTGAAGTTGTTTAGACCATCTCCGGTCATAGGGCTAAATATTTAGCCCTCCATAATATTAATTTTTTAAAGAATAGTGCAAGGCTAAATTTTTCAATCTCCAGCTATGCAGGGCTATATTTTAGGGTCCTTCATATTTTATTATTTTGAGAAAAACTATGGTACAACACTCATACATTCCACAACTATGTATTGTTTAATTTAATTAAACTACTATTTAGAGACAATATTCCATGATCAATAATTTTTTTATAATTTTCTTTAAACAATACTTGAAAACATTTAAAAAGGTGACCACATTTATTAATTAAAAAAAAAAGGATGGGTTTCAATAGTCTGACCTCCAACGGTCATGACTTGTAATTTTTTATAATTTTTTTACAAATTGAAAACATTTAAAAAGGTGACCACATTAAAATAATAAAAAAATGGTTGGGTTTAAATGGTCTGATCTCCAATGGTCATGACCAATAATTCGTTATAAATTTTTCTTAAACAACACGAATTGAAAACATTTAAAAAGGCTTTTAAAAATATATCGATGACGTCAGTGCTTTTATTGTTGACTGTTGGATATGCATTTGCATGAGATGATTTGTGCTCTTGCCCATACTTGATAATTTATCTTCTTCAAAAGCACATGCATGGGGTCCAAAAAAAATTTGGCCAAAATTTTGTTTAGCCCATGGCTGGAGATGGATTTTGCATTATTTTAGGGCTATATTTGGGATATAGCCCATGACTAGAGATGATCTTACTAAACCATATGGAATTGGGTTAGGAGTGGCACTAATTACTAAAATGTCCTCGTTGTTAGGTTAAAGTAAATGGCAAATTTGGAATTTTTAAAATTTTGTGAGGATACAATGGGTAAAAAAGATGAATTTCTAAGAGCATCTCCAAGGGAGATATCAAATACCAAACATCAAATTTAAATTTGATGGCTGATGTGGCAACTTGATATTTACACAGTTTTTTACTGCACCCGATATGTCAAATAAATAATTATTGTAACAGTCAAATCATTTAAAATAAAGAAGAAAAAAATAAAAAAGGAAAATAATAAATGAAAGTTACAATCAGCTGTCTTTAAAAAATAATAAAATATTCATTTGACATCTTGCTTTTGAGATGTCAAAAATAACAGCTGAACCTCTAGCCTTCATTCCACATCAGCTTTGACAATTCGGTTGGAGTGATGTGAGATGTTATTTCTAACCGTTAAATGTCTATGTGACACTTTTGACATATCAGTTGGAGATACTTTAATAGGTTAGTCTTTTAGGAATTAGAATACCACATCTCACCCAAGAATTGAATTCCTCCAAAATCAAGAATTCAATTATTAATTTTGTGTGGGCTCCACTTACTTTTTAATTCATTAATGTGAAGTAAACACATAAATCTTTCATATGTGGAATTCAATTCTTTACGAGAATTACAATTCTTGATTAATAAACATATTATGAAAGTTTTTTTTAGAATGTAGATATTTGTAAAATCGCATAAATATCCAACCCACTTTCTGTAAAACTAATTCTTTTGTTTCGAAATATATGTAGGGCCACAACGTGAAGTGACAGCCACTCCCCGGTCTCTTTGGCCTTTTGTCAAGACCCCAAAAGTCTTCCCAAGCTGTCTTCCAATTAAGAAAAAGAAAAAAAGAGAAAAGGAAAGACTCGGATTTTATTGTGGAAAAGAGAATAGGCCACATAATAAAATCATGAGACTTGGAACGAAAAAATAAAAGAATAATTTCATTGTCCAATGCCATGGTTTAACGTTTTGTATGTATAATGTGTTTTCGGTTCTAGCCACAGTGGAGGAAGTAAGTCAGTGGGAGTTTTCTTTGGCTTTGTGAGAGAGATGTGCAAGTCTCTGAGTTTGGGTTCTTGAACCATAACTTTTCACTAATCTGTTTTTTATTTTTTGCCAAAGACTCTTCACTGTTCTTTACTCATTACTCCATGAAAGTTTTTTTAGAAGTAGATACTTGTAAAATCGCATAAATATCCAACCCACTTTCTGTAAAACTTATTCATTGTTTTGAAATATATGTAGGGCCACAACGATCTAGGTGAAGTGACAGCCACTCCCAGGTCTCATTGGCCTTTTGTCAAGTGCATACGATGATCCACCAATAACATCCTTGATGACATATTTACTAATTAGTAATTTGATTAAGAGGAATTAAATTGACGATGAATTGAATTGAGGAGGAGTTGGATTGAGGAGAATTAGATTCCGGATTCCTATTCAAGTTGTTTACTAAACCATATGGATTGAAAGAGTTAGATTCCGGATGCCTATTGAAGTTGTTTAGGCCATCTCTAGTTATAGGGCTAAATATAGTCCAAAGCTAAATATTTAGCCCTCTAAAATATTAATTTTTTAAAGAATAGTGTAAGGCTAAATTTTTCCATCTCCAGCTATGCAGGGCTATATTTTAGAGTCCTTTATATTTTATTATTTTGAGAAAAACTATAGTACAACACTCATACATTCCACAACTATGTATTGTTTAATTTAATTAAACTACTATTTAGAGACAATATTCCATGACCAATAATTTTTTATAATTTTCTTTAAACAATACTTGAAAACCTTTAAAAAGGTGACCACATTTATTAATTAAAAAAAAGGATGGGTTTTAATGGTCTGACCTCCAACGGTCATGACCAGTAATTTTTTTATAATTTTTTTACGAATTGAAATTTTTTAAAAAGGTGACCACATTAAAATAAAATAAAAATGGTTGGGTTTAAATAGTCTAACCTCCAATGGTCATGACCAATAATTTGTTATAAATTTTCTTAAACAACACGAATTGAAAACATTTAAAAATGCTTTTAAAAATATATCGATGACCTTAGCGCTTTTATTGTTGACTGTTGGATATGCATTTGCACGAGATGATTTGTGCTCTTGCCCACACTTGATAATTTATCTTCTTCAAAAGCACATGCATGGGGTCCAAAAAAAATTTGGCCAAAATTTTGTTTAGCCCATAGTTGGAGATGGATTTTACATTATTTTAGGGCTATATTTGGGATATATCCCATGACTGGAGATGGCCTTACTAAACCTATGGAATTGGGTTATGAGTGACACTAATTACTAAAATGTTCTCGTTGTTAGGTTAAAGTAAATGACAAATTTAGAATTTTGAAAATTTTGTGAGGATACAATCGGTAAAAAAGATGAATTTCTAATAGGTTAGTTTTCCAGGAATTAGAATACCACATCTTACCAAAAAATTGAATTCCTCTAAAATCAGAAATTCAATTCTTAATTTTGTGTGGGTCTCACTTACTTTTTAATTCATTGATGTGAAGTAAACACAAGAATTCTTTATATGTGGAATTCAATTCTTTACGAGAATTACAATTCTTGATTAATAAACATATTATGAAAGTTTTTTTTTAAAATGTAGATATTTGTAAAATCGCATAAATATCCAACCCACTTTCTGTAAAACTAATTCTTTTGTTTTGAAATATATGTAGGTCCACAACGACCCAAGTGAAGTGACAGCCACTCCCAGGTCTCTTTGGCCTTTTGTCAAGACCCCAAAAGTCTTCCCAAGCTGTCTTCCAATTAAGAAAAAGAAAAAAGGAGAAAAGGAAAGACTTGATTTTATTGTGGAAAGAGAATAGGCCACATAATAAAATCATGAGACTTGGAACGAAAAAATAAAAGAATAATTTCATTGTCCAATGCCATGGTTTAACGTTTTGTATGTATGATGTGTTTTCGGTTCTAGCCACAGTGGAGGAAGTAAGTTAGTGGGAGTTTTCTTTGGCTTTGTGAGAGATATGTGCAAGTCTCTGAGTTTGGGTTCTTGAACCGTAACTTTTCACTAATCTGTTTTTTATTTTTAGCCAAAGACTCTTCATTGTTCTTTACTCATTACTCCATGAAAGTTTTTTTAGAAGTAGATACTTGTAAAATCGCATAAATATCCAACCCACTTTCTGTAAAACTTATTCTTTGTTTTGAAATATATGTAGGGCCACAACGACCCAGGTGAACTGACAGCCACTACTAGGTCTCATTGGCCTTCTGTCAAGCGCATACGATGATCCACCAATAACATACAATCAAGCTCTCCCTTCTATCAATTTCATTCCATTCAAATCCAACACAAAATGCAAAATTTCCGAAGAGACAAAAACTCTGACTCAAGGGTGTGAAAACCCCAAAAGTCTTCCCCTCTCCCCTTCTCCCTTCCTCACTTTGATTCAATAGAAAAGTGATGGTAGAAGAGATCCGAAAGACCTATAAGAAAGGCACTGCCCATAGGTATAGCACACAAACAATAACCATGAGATCTTTAACTTCCGGTAAAGTATTCTTCATGGCTTATTGCCTTACCTTGTTGTATGTTTCATCACCACATTGGGTTGCTTCTGCTACTTCTACTACTGATACTGAAGCAAAGGCTCTTCTCAAATGGAAAGCCAGCTTACTTCAAAATAAAGCCCTCAATATTCTCAACTGGTACCCTTCCGCTCATATTGCCAACAATTCTTCCACCAATCCAAAAGCAAATACAATCCCGTGCACTTGGACCGGAGTTTCATGCAACACAGCTGGAAGTGTCAACAAGATAAACCTTTCCACTTGTGGTATTCAAGGTACGCTACATGAATTTTCATTCTTGTCCTTCCCTAATCTTGAATATCTTGACCTCCGGATGAATAAACTCTTTGATGTCATCCCACCTCAAATCAGTTACCTCTCCAAACTCGACTATCTTGATCTCTCTCTCAATCAATTGTCCGGGAGAATCCCACCAGAAATCGGACTCCTAAGAAATCTTACCCTTCTCGATCTCCATGAAAATACATTTTTTGGGGATATTCCCAAGGAAATAGGCAACATGAAATCTATTGAGGAACTATATTTGTATAAGAATAAACTCAACGGTTCAATTCCAAGATCATTATGCAATCTAACAAGACTTGCCTATCTTTACCTCTATAACAATCAACTTTCTAGTTCTATTCCCAATGAGATAGGCAATTTAAAGTCTCTAGTAGATCTACAGTTGTCCTCCAACACTTTAAGTGGTCACATCCCTCCAAATATTGGTAATTTACAAAAATTAAATACTTTGTACTTGCATACCAATGAACTCTCTGGCTATATTCCCAAAGAGATAGGGAACTTGAAATCTCTTATGGATCTTCATTTGGGTGATAATCAATTAAGAGGCTCAATTCCACGATTTTTAGCAAATATCTCAACCCTTACCAATCTTTTCCTCTTTGGTAATCAACTTTCTGGCATTATTCCCAATGAGATAGGTAATTTGAAGTCTCTTGTAGATCTACAGTTGTCTTCCAACACCTTAAGTGGTCCCATCCCTCTAAGTATTGGTAACTTAAAAAAGTTAAACACTTTGTACTTTCATAACAATACACTTTCTGGTTTGATTCCAAAAGAGATAGGGAACATTAAATCTCTTGTGAATTTAGGATTGAGCGGCAATCAACTGCACGATTCAATTCCTACTTCATTTGGTAACTTGAGCAACTTGGAAATCTTACATCTACGGGATAACCGACTTTCCGGCTCCATTCCCCAAGAGTTAGAGAATCTCAAGAATTTGATTCAATTGCACTTGGATACAAACCAATTGTCTGGTTATTTGCCCCCAAATATTTGCCAAGGTGGAAAGCTCACAAACTTTTCAGTATTCAGAAACTATTTGACTGGACCTATCCCTAAAAGCTTGAAAAATTGCACGGGCTTAATAAGAGTCCATCTTGAACATAACCAATTTACAGGCAATATATCAGAAGACTTTGGTGTCTATCCGAATCTTGATTTTATGAATATAAGCAACAACAACTTGTATGGAGAAATCTCACACAACTGGGGACAATGCCCAAAGTTGACAACCCTAATAATGGCAGGAAACAACCTTACTGGTAGCATCCCACCTGAGATAGGAAACGCAACCCAAATTCATGTGCTCGACCTTTCTTCAAATCATTTAGTTGGGTTGATCCCAAAAGAATTTGGGAAGTTGTCTTCATTGGTGAGGCTGATATTGAATGGAAATCAACTTTCGGGTCGTATACCGTCAGAATTTGGATCATTAAGTGATCTTGAATATCTTGACTTGTCAACCAACAAATTCAATGAGTCAATTCCGAGCGTTATAGGTGACTTGGTCAAATTGCACTACTTGAATTTGAGCAACAACAAGTTGGCTCAAATAATTCCATTTAAGTTAGGGAAGTTAGTTCAATTGAATGACTTGGATTTAAGTCATAACTCACTTGAAGGTAGGATACCATCAGAAATGGGTAGTATGCAGAGTTTGGTGAAACTTGATCTTTCCCACAACAATCTTTCGGGTTCCATACCATCAAGTTTTGAAGAGATGCGTGGCTTGTTGTATGTTGACATATCTTACAATCACTTCGAAGGTCCCCTTCCCAACATCAGTGCATTTCGAGAAGCTCTGCCAGAAGGATTAAAAGGGAACAAAGGATTTTGTGGCATAGTTAGAGGTTTGCCACCCTGCAATGCACATGGCTCAAAAAAAGACCAGAAGTTCCTATTCTCACTTCTAGCAGTAATTATTTTTCTATCTGCTTCCTTCACTATTTTCTTTGTAATAGTGCAAAGGAAGAAGAAGCATCAGGATAAAGCACAAAAAAACATGCATGAAGAAATATCTTTTTCAGTTTTAAATTTTGATGGAAAGTCAATGTATGAGGAAATCATAAGGGCAACAGAAGATTTCGATCCCACATATTGCATTGGGAAAGGAAGACATGGAAGCGTCTACATAGCAAGTTTGCCATCTGCCAATGTAGTGGCTGTGAAGAAACTCCATTTGTTGCAAAATGACGAGAAGAATCTTCAAAAGGAGTTCTTAAATGAGGTAAGGGCACTCACGGAGATACGACATCGGAACATTGTGAAGCTCTATGGTTTTTGTGCACATAAACGACATTTGTTTTTGGTGTACGAATATCTTGAAAGAGGTAGCTTGGCCGCAATCTTGAGCAAAGAGGAAGAGGCTAAAGAGTTAGGGTGGAGCAAAAGGGTGAATACTGTAAAAGGTGTAGCTCATGCCTTGTCTTACATGCACCACGATTGCTTGCCACCGATTGTACATCGTGACATCTCAAGCAAGAACATTTTGTTGGATTCTGAATATGAGGCTTGTGTTTCAGACTTTAGCACTACTAAGTTTTTAAATCCAGACTCAACTAATTGGACTGCCGCTGCAGGCACATTTGGCTACATTGCACCAGGTAATATTATCATATACAATTTCTCTGTTCTCTGTACCTGTGCATAATTGATACAAGATACAATTTCTTCTATGTGCTTTTTCTGAGCAGAGCTTGCATATACAATGAAAGTGAATGAAAAGTGCGATGTTTATAGCTTTGGAGTTGTCACACTGGAAATAATTATGGGAAACCATCCAGGAGATGTTTTCTCATCTTTATCATCCGGGGCATCATCGTCGTCCTCATCTGCATCACTTGCCCCTGAAATGCCAATTTCGGATGTTCTGGACCGACGCATCTCCCAACCCACAAAACAAGAAGCAGGGGAGGTGGTGTCTCTTTTGAAGATAGCATTTGCATCTTTGAATCCCAATCCACAGTCTCGTCCAACAATGAAAAAAATTTCTCAGCTCCTCTCATCAACTCAAAGGCTACATTTGTCAAAGCCATTACATATGACAACATGTGGTGAATTGCTTGCTGTTGATGGATTCACTACCTGATCAGGACATGTGCTGCTTTTCTGTATTTGACTTCATTTGTGTCTGCTTTGTTCTTATTATTTTTTAGATGTTTGGCTTATTGTTTTCTATTTCATGCCCACTTTTGTCTTTTAGCTCAAGCTTTAATAAGGGTTATTGGTATATAGATTTTTTTTGTGCTTATGTATGTATGTATGTCTCATGTTACCACCTAAAGTATTATGAATTTGTTGCAATATTGCAATGTCAAACTTTTCGTTTATGGTTAATTACATTTTTGGTGACTGAATCTTCGCTCAAAATCAAATTTGGTCACCGGATTTCTATTTTCCCCAATTTCATCTCCGCTTTTGCAATAGTTAACAAATTCCATCAGTTTGTTTAATTAAAAAATATTTAATATTAAGTTAAAAATAATTAACCTCAATATAAAATTTAATAATTTAAAAAAAATCATATCCCATGTTCCCTTGTTCCGTCGTCAGCCCCCTTCCCCACACCTACCCAACAATACCCAGCCCCACCATCCCTTCTCCCTTCTCCCACCACCACTTAACCCCTTAGGCCTCTCAAACAGGAGTGGATCCGATATCCCCAAATTGTGTGTCCATTCCCTGTACTCGTTCTAAATTTTCAACGTATGTCCTCCCACACAGAACCTAACACTTTTAACTCATATTAAAAATAATAAGAATAAGCTTACGATTTTAGGGGACTAAGCTTATTGTCTGTTTTGATTATGCAGGGTTGATTTCGAATAATTTGAGATTGAGGAGTATTGCCGATTGAGACAGAATGCCCACGTGATCAGGTTTTCCCTCAAACCACGTACAATACATTTTCAAAAAAGAGTTTAGGGAGACTTTAACGAAGTTTTTCTTGATTTTGGATTATCAAGAGTTGAATATTATTTAGTAGGGAAATTAAAGTCACAGAGTCACGAAGTCTTTCTCTTTCTTTTGGTTTTGGTCAAACACAGGGTCACAAAGACTAGGGGCCTTGGTTTGACCAAAGGACAGAACACACGAAGGAACCAAACCGCAAAACAATAGAGACAAGAAATATAATTGCGCAAAGAGTAGGTGGAAGACCAATTTAACTAGACGGGTTCAACCATAAAGTGTCCAGCACAAAAAGTTTCTTATGTAACCTCCCTAAAACCCTAAGGTGGAAGATCAATTTATCACCAATACAATAATTAACCATTACTTATTTTAATGAGGGTCTGAAAGCATGTGAAGCTAGCAGTAAAGCCATCACAGCCAATCTACTGAGTCAAGGAGTTCCCCACATCGATCACAAACCGATACCGGACATCAGATTTGGCAATTCGTTCCATCGCAGTGTTAACGTAATCCATTTGAATCAGCTCGATGTCTGAGGTAATATTGTGCTTGGCACAAAAGTCAAGCACCTCCTGCGTCTCTTTCACCCCACCTATGTCACTTCCCCCTACAAGCTTCCGCCTTGAAAGCCATGACAAGATTAGAGGATATTACAGAAACTGAACACTGGATTATGTTTCTAGAACACATGTTACAGAATTCGAGCATTAGTTCATGTTTCTAGAGCCCTTTGTATTCTACTAGGATGGGGGAAGACGAGGACCAAACAAACATAAACACCACCAAAAGAAAGTATAAACAATTTGTTAATATCTGTTTGGGAATCTGGGATTGATCAGGCAATTTAACACTTCGTGTTTCTCCTGAATAGAATATCCCCATCATAACGTCTTAGGCACAATGCCCACGAAAAGCTATAAGCCTGGAAATAAGTTAAAAGTTGCACATTGATGCATCCTCCTCCTAAATAGAAAAATTCAGTCTTTGTGGTCAGATAGGCATACCCAAAACTAAGGGAAAGATTGGCAACTCCAGGGGCTTGTCAGGCAAACCCACCGTGACCAGCTTCCCATTCAGCTTCAGTAGACCAATTAATGGGGCCAGTGCATGAACTGCAGACACCGTGTCAATGATGTAATCCATGGTACCCATTGCTGCCTGCATAGTTGTTTGGGCCTAAATCCCACACGCAAGCCCAATTAAAATTGACCCATAAAAGAAAGGGCGGTTATCTAGTGAGAACAGCTATATGAGAACATTACATGAGAACAACTATATGAGAACATTACATGAGAACACCGTTGGATCTAATCTAACGGCTGCATGAAAATAATTGTAAGTGTTGTATTAGAACGAAGCCTTCTTCTCTCTCCTCCCTCCAAAATGTCTAGTCGAAAACAGACGTCCCCTCCAATCTAGCTATTTGGTTTGTTCAATTAGGTGGCCAATTTTTTGATCAGCTTTGATTGAGCAAGAGCAATAACACTGAAGAAAGAGCGGCCTGTTATTCCTTATTCGATTCGAGGAAGAACACAGAAGTATAGCCCTCATTTTTCTGGGTTTCTCATTCAGGCAAAACAAAGTGTTCGTCTATTTTATATTATCATCTTTGTGGTTCGGTCTTTCTGGTTGGAACATTCGTCAATCCTTGAGCAACGTCGAAACTGGCATTGAGTTGGAAACTGGAGACCGCGATCGTTGTTCTGTTCTCTTGGTTTTGAAAACCTTGAGCACGGTTGAAACAGGGGTTGAGGAAGATGAAAAGTATTTGGGGTTGACGTCTAGATCTAAAAGGGCAACATTGTCATATTTGTAGAAATTTTGAAGTTGGAAATGACTCACGAGGTAAGTGATATACTGTATTTGTCAATTTTAGTATTAGGCATAAGCATGAGTTATGTTAATTTGTATATAGATCTTTAATGTTTCACCAGAGAATCATTTTCATATCATATGTTAGTTAATATATATTTTAAAGCTCTTTTAAAGCATGTGCCAATGTTGGTATGATGGTGGTGAATTCAGGGTTAAATTTCAAGAGCTGTGAAATGGAGTGTGAAGGACAGGTGACAACAGAAGTAAGTTCGGAGTTGAAACCAAAATTGGGACTTGAATTTGATTGCTGTGACGATGTGTTCAATTTCTATAATATTTATGCCACGAAAGCTGGATTCGGCATTCGGTGTTCTACAACGAGGACGTGCACATTGACAGGAGAGATAATAAGGAAGGAATATGTATGTTGTAAATAGGAGTATTCGTTGATAAGCACTGTTAGTCGTAAGAGAAGACGGCGAGGTTGTACTCGAACTGGTTGCAAGGCTAAACTTGCGATTTTAAAGATAAAATACAAGAATAAGTACATTGTTGTAGGATTTAATGAGGTACACAACCATGACATGACCACAGTTGATAAAGTCCATCTATTGAGATCTCACCATAACTTAACAGAGACTACAAAGGTCTATAGTGCACATATGAGCAAAGTTAATATCCCTGTACATAAACAGGTAAGCCTGCACTACTACAAAAAAGGAAAACCACGACGGGAATTCACCGTCGTGTATTCTGTTTTCAAATGGTCGTGGAATCCACCGACATCTTTTCCATAACCAAACCACGACGGTGAATAACCGTCGTTGTTAAAACAAAAAACGTCATCAAAAAATAAAAACCGATGTCTTTGTGCTGCAAAAAGACATAAAAAAATAGTCGAGGATGAGAATAGACGACCAACTCCAACAAAAAAAACGTCGTTAAAAAGGAAACATATGACAAATATAAATACGACGTCTTTACAATCATAATAGACGACGTTATTGACACCTACTACGTCACAACATTTCCCACAACCGTCGTAAAATAAATTTTCCACTTCGATTTTTCTATGAATTATGACGTGGAAATAGATGTCAGGGTCATTACTTACGACGCATGTATTTACAGAGACGACGTTGAATTTGATAAATAACGTCGGTTCCAAATAAATGAGAGCCGTATTACAGAATTTATACGTCATATTTTGAAAATAAACGACGTGGAAAAAATGATGGGTCATTAATTACGACACAGTAATTTATAAGGACGACGTTGTCGTCTATATACAACGTCGGTACCATGAAAAAGACCGTCGTGTTTAATAATTTATACGTCTTCATTAAAAAAATTAACGTCGTCTAATTCATAAATCTTAACGTCGACAAATTTAATGGACTTCAAATACCGTCGTGAATTCATCCTTTTCCACTTCGTTTATGAAAGAACATGCGACGTGGTAAATTCATGACGACGTCGTCTTTTGTAACGTTCAGGTTAAAGTTCTCGTCTTTTAGACGTCGGTGTTATGGGATTGGAGTCGTGTTATTTTGAATTACATGGCGGTTCTTTATGCTTGTCCGACGTGTTATCCTGGATAACTGTTTCACAATAGCGTCGTGGTTCTTCATTGTTACTTTGCTTTAAGACGTCGGTAAATATATTGCGGTCGTTGAATGCTCCAAAACGTCGTTATTTATTAGAACAGACGTTTGTTTTTCACATTTTTATCAAAACCGTCGTGTTTTGTAATCTGGAACCAGTAATTTTTGTACTGATTGTTTTGTGGCCAAAACCTGTATAATGAAAGTGAAGAAATCACATTACAATATATTACAAAATTAATGTCATACACTGCCAATTACATAAAGCATCATTCAACCCATATATCTTCACACCCATCTCGAATATTTTGACTCCCTAACTCAACCACCACTTCATCAAATGTGTCAACATTTGGCATCCCCCTAGTAAATGGCTCACACTCAATTCTCACATCACCTAAGACATCATCACCAATAACATCATTATATTCTCTATTAGGCATTGATAACACTACCGACCAACCACGATGCATCGGGTCGTCAACAAAAAATACTTGTTTGACTTGAGAAGCCAAAACAAATTGGTCATTCCTATGTCCAATTTTACTCAAATCTACAAGGGTAAATCCAAGTTCGTCCACTACAAGACCAGAAGTATTATCAATCCAATCACACCTAAAGACTGGGATTGTAAACTTTTGGTAGTCAAGGGTAAATTTCTTGAATGAACACCATAGAAACCCATATTTGAGAGGAATTGGGTTTTTATCCTTGGAACTAGCAACTTGCATAGTAGTGAAGTAAATAAACTCCACTATTTTGAGTTGTCCGCACATCATCTTGTGCCTTGATGTTGAATTTAATACCTTTAATGAGATAGCTCCTATATAATGGCACTGCCATGTTTGGACCAGCTGCTAGCCACCTTAAATTTTCTGATACGCCATGATTTGTCTTCCTCATTAAGTTCACTTTGAACCTGCAAATTAATCATAACTTAATTCAATCTAACTAGAAAGAAGAAAATTAAAAGTCCAATATGTTATTCAATAACATATACCTTGAAGCGTAGCCATTGAATGAAAGTGCTATTGTGCTTATCCTGCAGCCACTTTGTTCTCTTTCTAAATTTTGGATAAGCGGTCTGGATGTGGATCATATGTTGCCTACATGACACACAAAATTCAAGTATTACGGTCCCAAACATATAAGATAAACATAAGAAATAATTTAAAATGGAAACTTAAAGAATAAAACTCATACGTACTCGATATAAGGTAGGACTTCCTCCGTATTCTCCAAGACATATAGATGGGCTTGGTTCAACAGGTCCCGATCAACTACGCTCACTGTGCAACCTGATAATGGCTTTGAAACTCCCATCTTTTGGCTTGAAGGCACTCCAACTGTACTAACATCAGATAAATGCTCGGTACAAAACTCTACAGCTTCTTCAGCTATATACGCTCAGCAATGCAACCTTCGGGACGAGTACGATTCTGAACATACCCCTTTAGCACTTTCATATATCTTTCAAACGGATACATCCATCTAAAATATACTGGCCCACACAGACGAACTTCTCTGACAAGATGTACTACTAGATGAACCATGATATCAAAGAATGAAGGGGGAAAGTACTTCTCAAGCAAACACAAAGTAACTACTACATCTTCTTCCAACTTATCTAGCTTGGAAACATCAACAGTCTTTGCACATATAGCATTGAAGAAGAAGCACAAACGAGTTATTGCATACCTTGCAGGCTTCTCCAAAACAGAACGAATTGCCACAGGGAGCAATTGTTGCATTAAGGTATGACAATCATGTGATTTAAGGCCAAGAAGTCTTGAATCTTGTAAAGATACAAGATTTTTATATTTGAAGAATAACCTTCAGGGACCTTCATACCATAGAAAGAATTGCAAAACCTCTCTCTTCTCTGCTCTTGACAAATTCCAAGGCCCGGGAGGCAAACGAGTACGTCTTTCTCCATACTCGGGTTGCAAATCAGTTTTGACCCCCATGTTCAATAAATCTAATCGAGCAGCAATCCCATCTTTATTTTTTCCAGGGATCTCCAGCAATGTACCAATGATACTATCGCAAACATTCTTCTCAATGTGCATAACATCTAGGACATGCCTCACAGGAAGGTATTTCCAATACTCGAGATCAAAGAATATTGATTTCTTCTTCCAACAAACTCTGTCACCATCTTCAACCATATGCAGCACTTCTTCTCCGGTTAATGGCTCAGGAGGCGTGCCATATTCAGGTTTCCCATTAAAAGCTGCACGTTGCCTCCTATATGGATGATTGATCGGTAACCATTTTCTATGCCCAATGTAACAAATTTTGTGGCCATTTTTCAACCTGTGACTAGGTGTATCATCGCCGCATATTGGACAAGCTTTATATCCTTTAACAACACAACCAGATAAGTTTCCATAGGCGGGGAAATCATTAATTGTCCACATTAATGCAGCTCTGAGTGTAAAGTATTCTCCATTATGTGCATCATACACTCCTCCAATCCCATCCCACAAAGATTTTAAATCATCAATCAAAGGCTCCAAGTAGACGTCTATATCATTTCCGGGCTGTTTAGGACCGGAAATCAATAAGGTCAACATCATGAACTTTCGTTTCATGCACAGCCATGGAGGGAGATTATATGTAACTAAGATAACTGGCCAGCAACTATATCTGCTACTTAGAGAACTGTGGGGATTGAATCCATCAGATGAAAGAGCCAATCTCAAGTTTCTCGGCTCATTACCAAACTCGGGCCATTTATCATCAAGAAGTTTCCAAGACGGGGAATCCGCTGGATGAGACATATAACCGTCAATTGATTTTCTAGCAGCATGCCAAGTCAAACTCTTAGCGGTCTCATGTGATCGAAACATCCTTTTAAACCTTGGAATTGGAGGAAAATACCACACCACCTTCGCTGGCACACCCTCTTTCAAGATTGAATCTTTGCCTTCCTTCCACCTTGAGATACCACAATTAGGACAATGAGTTAAATCCTCATACTCCTTCCTATACAAGATGCAATCATTGGGGCATGCGTGCATTTTCTCATAACTCAGCCCCAATGCACACAAAGTCTTTTTTGCCTCATACATAGAGGCCGGTATTGTATTTCCGTCTGGAAGCAAATCGCCTTGAAGTATCAATAATTCTGTAAAACAGACATCACTCATCCCATATTTTGCCTTCAAATTATACAACTTCACTAATGCCGATAACTTCGTGTACTTTCTACAACCAGGGTACAATGGTTGATCTCCATCCCCAATCACATTGGCAAACTCATAAGGATCAGATCCAAAATCACCAAAATCATTATCATCCATCTCTATTTCTTCAGACACAAAACTGTACCTACTATGGTCATCATCTTCTTCAACATTTCTACTAGCATTAGTAGCTGCTTCCCAAGGTTCTCCGTGAAATGTCCAATTCTTATAGCTTTGGTCAACTCCATTAAAGTATAAGTGATCCCTTATAATTCCAACCCCAAACAATTTCAAATTAACACATTTAACACATGGACAACGGATATGTGTGGTAGTTAGAAGATTTTCTACAGAAAAGTTCAAAAATGCTTCCACCCCTAACTCATATGCCTTCGATCTTCTATCCGAGTGCATCCATGACTTATCCATCTCCGACACTATACCCTATTATATATAATAAAGTGAAAAGACAAGCAATGACCATCACTATAGCAGATTACATAAAGTCTAATAGCAAGTAATATACAACAGAGACGACGGTTTTTAAACAAAAACAGACGTATTTGACATATATAGACGACGGATTTTACGTCGTCTAATTGTAACCACGACGGTAGTTAAATAACACCGTCGTGTATAAGTAATAAAAACGACGGTTTAAAGTAAAAACCGTCGTCGTATGCCTGAAAACGCGTCGATATCCAGTTTATTTTCAAGATCCCAAAACCCTATTAAGAACACAACATAGACATGAAACCAAGCAAGAAACCAACATATACATGAAACCAACATATACTAAGCATGAAAACAATAAATCCATTCCCAATTCAACATAACAGAGAGTGATTAAAAGATCCGACAAAATGAAATCCATTCCATATTCAACATAACAGAGAGTGATCAAGAAAACATTAAACAGAAAATCCATGAACCCATACCTCCAACAACATTATTAACAGATCGCAAAACATATACCTAAAACCCTTTAACAAAACAACGTAATATATCATTCAATGAATTTACAAGGGGAAGAGAGGGTTTGTACTTACAGGTTGGCAGAGCTCACAGATTATGACCAAATTGGATTTGACACAGCCTGGCCCAACTTTGAATTAGAGATGAAGTGAGAGAGCGAAATGTTATGTTGCGCGAAATCAGAAAATTTTAGGGTTCAGGGTTAGAAGTATAAAAATAAGAGCCAAATCTGAAAATTTTAGGTCCCGCGAATATTTTAAGAAAGCGCGCTTTTTAAAACATCGACCGAAAAAACAAGCGTCGTTAAAATTTAACATTAAAGATGACGCTTATTACATTAAGGACGTCGTGGTAAAACTATGTACCACGCAAAATCAAAAAAGGCGTTAAAACTATGAAAAACCACGGCGGGGTTAAGTAACTAACGACGTTGTAAAAAAAAAAAAAAAAAAAAAAAAAAAAAAAAAAAAAAAAAAAAAAAAAAAAAAAAAAAAAAAAAAAAAAAAAAAAAAAAAAAAAAAAAAAAAAAAAAAAAAAAAAAAAAAAAAAAAAAAAAAAAAAAAAAAAAAAAAAAAAAAAAAAAAAAAAAAAAAAAAAAAAAAAAAAAAAAAAAAAAAAAAAAAAAAAAAAAAAAAAAAAAAAAAAAAAAAAAAAAAAAAAAAAAAAAAAAAAAAAAAAAAAAAAAAAAAAAAAAAAAAAAAAAAAAAAAAAAAAAAAAAAAAAAAAAAAAAAAAAAAAAAAAAAAAAAAAAAAAAAAAAAAAAAAAAAAAAAAAAAAAAAAAAAAAAAAAAAAAAAAAAAAAAAAAAAAAAAAAAAAAAAAAAAAAAAACCCCTCTAAAAGAGACACTAGTAAATACTGCGCATTCCACGAGGAGCACGGTCATTACACCAACAACTGCAACACTTGGAAAAGGCACCTTGAGGAGCTGGTCAGAGAGGGCCATTGCACAGAGTTCGTTGCAAAGAAGGCTATCCAGCAGACCGAGGATCGTGATGCAGCTGCCAAGAAACCTCCCCAAAAGGTCATTCGAATCAACACCATTCTAGCCGACTCCCAAGAGTCCGGGTTGACCACCAAGGAGCGCAAGAGAAAGATCGCTCAGGCAACTTATGTCTCCCAAGTCACAACGGGAGTACCACCCATTGTGGATACACCTATCATCGGCTTCCAGAAGAAGGACTTGATCGGGCTTGACCTGCCACATAATGACGCCCTAGTCATCTGCATCCAAATTGAACTGTGATCGAGCGAGTTCATGTAGATGAGGGCAGCGCAGCCAACATCCTGCAACTATCTGTTATCCAACAGATGGGGTTCGAGCCCAAGATTAGCAAACTTGCCAGATCGCTCACCGGCTTCAATGGGGCCACATCAATCACTGTTGGAAACGATCGACTTGGATGTCCACTCACCCCCAGTGGTCTGCTCGCAGACCTTCATGGTCATCGACGAGGTTTCCCCCTACAACAGAATCTTGGGCCGACCGTGGATCAGCAAGATCGAGGCCATCACATCTGCTCTACATCAGAAAATCCGCTATCCCATCCCCGGGGGCGGGATCGGGCAGATCAACAGTGACCAAGCCATGGCAAGGAGATGCACCGCCCAAGGGCTCAAGAAGAGCAAGCAGCTGCAGTTCACACCAGTAATGCAAGCTGCCAACGAGGCAGGAAGCGCTCTTAGCAGACAAGCAAACCCGAAAGGGAAGGAAGTTGCTGCCTCACAATAGCAGTTAAGGAACCAGGATCAAGGTGAGGGTATCCGCTCGGAAGACTCCCCTGAAAAGGGTTGGAAGCCTGAGGATGACGTTGAGTTAGTACCCCCTGATCCTGGCCAGCTAGACAAAGAGGCGCAGATCGGCTCGTGCCAGAATCCAAACAAGAAGGATCGAGACGAGGGAATCCGCCCGGAAGGCTCCCTTGAAGAAGGTTGGAAGCCTGAGGAAGGCGTTGAGTTAGTACCCCCCGATCCTGATCATCCAGAGAAAGAGGCGCAGATCGGCTCGCCCAGAATTCAAACAAGAAGGATCGACATGAGGGAATCCGCCCGGAAGGCTCCCTTGAAGAAGGTTAGGAGCCTGAGGAAGACGTTGAGTTAGTACCCCTCGATCCTCACCAGCCATACAAGAAAGCGCGGATCGGCTCGAGCCTAAGCCCAGACGAGAAGATGGAGCTGACCATCTTCCTCCAGAACAACAAAGACATGTTCGCGTGGTCACCATCTGACATGCCTGGCATTGACCCAAACATCATCTGCCATTGGCTCCATGTCAACCCTGCTAGCAAGCCCGTGGTGCAGAAGAGACGCAACTTTGCTCCCGAGCGGGTCGCAATCATTGAAGCCGAGATCGACAAGCTCCTAGCTGCCGGTTTCATTGAAGAGGTCTCCTACTCGGAATGGCTGGCTAACGTTGTTCTAGTGGCGAAACAAGAAAAGGGAAAATGGAGAGTATGCGTTGATTACACCGACCTCAACAAAGCATGCCCTAAAGACAACTTCCCATTGCCGAGAATTGACCAGCTCGTGGATTCAACTTCCGGCAACCAGCTGCTCAGCTTCATGGATGCTTACTCCGGCTATAATCAAATTATGATGTACGATGATGACAAGGCGAAGACCTCTTTCATCATCGAAAGAGGGACCTATTGCTACAAGGTCATGCCCTTTGGGCTGAAGAACGCCGGAGCAACCTACCAAAGGCTCGTGAATAAAATTTTCAAGGAGCAAATCGGCAGAACCATGGAGGTGTACGTGGACGATATGCTAGTTAAAGCCCCTAAGCGGGCAAACCACCTCAAAAACCTCACCGAGGTGTTCAGTCTGCTCCGCCAATATCGCATGAAGCTGAATCCAAGTAAATGCACGTTCGGTGTATCGTCTGGCCGGTTCCGGGGGTACTTAGTGACGCAACGAGGTATCGAGGCACACCCGCGCCAAATCAAATCAATTCTTGAGATGAAGTCGCCTTCCATAGTGAAGGAAATACAAAGCCTGACGGGCGGAGCCGCATCCCTTAACAGATTCCTCTCAAAATCCACCGACAAGTGCAGACCATTCTTCAAAGCTTTGAAGAAAGGACAAAAAAACAAATGGGACGAAGAGTGCGAAGTAGCTTTCTAGAATCTAAAGACCTACCATACTTCACCTCCCTTGCTCTCAAAGCCAGTTCCTTGTGAAGACTTGTTCGTGTACTTGGCAGTGTCTAACTTGGCCGTCAGCTCAGCTCTCATCCGAGACGAACTTGGGGCCCAACATCCGATATTCTACACGTCAAAAGCTCTCCTCGATGCAGAGACTCGCTACCCGAAATTGGAGAAGCTCATTTTGGCCCTTGTGGTTTCTGCGAGAAAGCTGCGACCTTATTATGAAGCTCACTAAGTCATCGTCATGATCGACTTTCCTTTGAGATCAATCTTTCACAGCCCTGATGCTTCTCAGCGACTCATGAAGTGGGCTATAGAGCTAAGCCAATTGACCTCCTCTACCGGCCAAAGACTGCAATAAAAGCTCAAGCCTTAGCAGACTTTGTTGCAGAATTCACACCATCAGCCGAAGAAGAGAAGCCGGTCAGCAAAAAGAAGGAAAGTTCGAGAGCAGACAAGACCTCTACTGAACCTGACCAACCCAGAGACATGTGGCAGTTGTGCGTAGACGGAGCGTCGAACCAGAAATGAGTTGGAGCAGGCGTTGTCATCATCACCCCAGATGGAACCCTGCTAGAGCAAGCTACCACGCTTGGCTTCCCGGTTTCAAACAACGAGGCAGAGTACGAGGCATTGCTCGATGGCTTGCGCTTAGCAAAGGAGCTATCAATCAAAAAGTTGGCCATCTACTCAGATTCCCAGCTGATCACAAGTCAAGCCACAGGAGAATACATGGCGAAGCACGCAAGGATGTTCTTGTACCTTGACAAAGTCCAAGAGTTGTTGAAGGCGTTTCCCACCTTCACCATCCAGCAAGTTCCCAGAGCAAAGAACGCGCACGCAGATGCACTGGCAAGCTTAGGATCGGCGCTGGATACCCAGTTCAGACACTCCATCCCGGTCGAGCACCTTGACCAGGCTAGCATAGAGGAGGCAGAGCAGCCGGACCTGATGCAGATCGATGAGGATCCTAGCTGGCAAGACCCAATTATTGACTACCTAGTGAATGAAAACCTGCCCAAGGACAAGTCCGAGGCCAGAAAAATCAAGCAGAAGGCTGCAAGATACATGAAAGGCGACATGCTTATCCGCAGATCATACTACGGACCTCATCTCACTTGCATCAAGTACCCACAAACGCTCGAGGTTCTCTGCAAGATACACGACGGCGAATGTGGAAATCACGCTGGGGGCAGATCGCTTGCTCAGAAGGCTCTCAGCATAGGCTATTTCTGGCCTACCATGCGCCAAGACTCCACGGAGTATGCTCGAAGATGTGATCGATGCCAACGCTACAAGCCAGTCCCTGGCCTGCCCGCTGAGGAATACAATCCGCAGAACAGTCCATGGCCATTCATGCAGTGGGCCATTGACTTGGTGGGAACTATGCCGACGGCACCTGCCAATAAAGAGATGTTGATCGTTGCCACTGATTACTTCACCAAATGGATCGAGGCCGAGGCTTTATCTTCTACCAAGGAGGCCGATGTTGAACGGTTCATCTGGAAGAACATTATTTGCAGATTCGGTTGCCCGCAATCGATAGTCACCGACAATGGTACACAGTTCGTGGGCAGGCAGATCACTGTATTCTTTGCAAAGTATGGCATCAAACAACACCTGTCAACACCCCGATACCCGCAAGGCAATGGCCAAGCAGAGGCATCCAACAAGATAGTGCTGGACTACCTAAAGAAAAGACTAGAAGGCGCAGAAGGAAAATGGGTTGACGAGCTGCCAGGAGTCCTATGGGCTTATCGCACGACCAAAAGGAGATCGACCGGAGAGACACCATTTTCCCTGGCCTATGGGACATAAGCAATTATTCCCCCACACATCACAGTCCCTTCCATGAGCATTGATGTGGGCAGTCTTGACCAAAACTGCAAGCAGATGAAAGTCAACCTTGATATGCTCGAAGAAGAACGAGCAAAGGCCATTGTTCGAGTTGCCGCCTACCAGCAGCAGTTGACGTCCTACTACAATAAGAAGGCCAAGATCAGACAATTTCAGCCTGGAGACCTTGTGCTTAGAAAAACTTTCATCACAGCACCAAGGCAAGGGTCAAAGAAAATGAAGCCAAACTGGGAAGGCCCCTACGTGATTAGCCGATCTGGGGGCAGAGGAAGTTACACCCTTGATACTCTAGAAGGAAAAGAAATTCCGAGACAATGGAATGCCCACCACCTTCGAAGATACTATCCATGAAACTCTTCGCTTACCAACTTGGCTGCTAGCAGGCGACGAGCCTCCTGTACTTCCATTAAAGACAAACTACTTTTGATGTTACCTTTGTTGTTAATTTCCTTTATTCAATAAAGCGATGTATTCACACCAACATCAATACAAGAGCAAGCTTTTCAATGAAGTACTTTTTCGAGCATTGTGTCCCTGACATACGCTCGCAGGCGACAAGCCTCATCTCCATTGCAGACAGGCTGCTTCACGAAGCACAAACTCAATGGAGTCTTTTTCGAGCATTGTGTCCCTGACATACGCTCGCAAGCGACAAGCCTCATCTCCATTGAAGACAGGCTGCTTCACTAAGCACAAACTCAATGGAGTCTTTTCAAGCGTTATGTCCCAGACATACGCTCGTAGGCGACAAGCGTCATCTCCATTGCAGACAGGCTGCTTCACGAAGCACAAACTCAATGGAGTCTTTTTCGAGCATTGTGTCCCTGACATACGCACGTGGGCGACAAGCCTCATCTCCATTGCAGACAAGCTACTTCTCGAAGCACAAACTCAATGGAATCTTTTTATTTCGAGCATTGTGTCCCTGACATACGCTCGTAGGCGACAAGCCTTACCTCCATTGTGGGCAAGCTACTTCACGAGTACAAACTCAATGGAATCTCTTTCAAGTGCTATGTCCCTGGACGTACACTTACAAGATATAATGAGAATTGAAGTTTGAAAGATAACTGAAAATTCCATAGCAAAACGGCCAACCAGCCAAATTCAACAAACAATAGGGTGGTCAACCAAAGACCACTTATTGAAAGAAAATTACAAAGTTCAAAAATAGCAAAAATGAACTACATCTACTAGGGGACTTCAGCAGGTGACCCTTAGCTGATCACATCCTCAGTTGCGCTGGCAACAGCCTCACTCTGCTTAACCATCACCACCTACTCAACCGCCTCGGCCGTTTGTTCCTTACCCTCCTCAGCTGTCCCGCCTTGGGGCTTGTCTTCCTCCGCTGCGGCTTCATCTGCTACCTGCTCTTCAACTGCTTCTGCATCCACAACATTGATCTGCTTACTTTGAGCAGGGGGCAGATCAAGACAGGACTGCTCATCATCGTCATCTTCGAGAGGACAGCAAGGAGAAGCACCGTTCTGGCAGTCCAGGTATCCCAGCTTGTACGCATTAGCAGCAATCTCATGTTTGGACGCCTCCATGGCTTCCATATGGTTGTTAAACTTGACCAGCAGTCTATCACGATCTTGGGCCAGAGCAGCATGCTTGCGTTCGAGGCTAAAGTAGGCTTCCTTGCGTTCGAGCAGGGTAGCCGTAAGAGACTTGAGTTCGTCATCTTTTTGGCCAACAGAACTCTTAAGTGCGGACATACTCTCCTTCATCTCAGAAATCCTCGTGTCATGGCGAATCCGCTCGTTCGAGAGCTTGTCAGTCAGGTCAGCGTTCTTCTTCACCAGCTCGTCAAGCAGGGCAGAAGAGGGGGCAATATCATGCGAGTTCTGCATAGCCCCAACAGCAAAAACCATCCCTTTTTGAAGATGATACAGGGCAGCTTCTTCTTGTTTATCCAAGGGAAGGCTCGAGAAGGCACAAAGATCAGTAGCTCGATACACATGGTCAGCTAGCTTAGCACAAACAGATGGACTTGATAGAAAGCCCGTTTTCAGCAGATCAGACAAAGGCTCACCCCCAACAGAGCTATCACCAATCCCCAAACCAGCAGTTCGCGCGACTGGAGGACTCTTTGCTCGAGCAAACGACTTTTTAGCTTTCTTGCTTGCAGCTTGCAACATCGAGTCAGCTCCGCGCTTGATTGTTCGTGGTCCCGCAGATGAGTCATGGTGGCTGGGCAGAGGTACAGTCCTCTCAGTTCGGTCCCCAGACCGGCGCAGACGCCCCAAACCTTGCTTCTCAACGGCCTCCTTACAAGGCAGATCACGAGTTTTGGGCAATACGGGACTTGAACAACATATCCCGAACTTCCTGCATGCCGTTGGCCTTCCTGTTGTTCGCGCTGACGAGGCGTTTGATCCCGGCAGACGAGGCCTCTTGTGAGGAAGGCTTATTAGCGGCAAGAGAAGATCTTGGTTGCCCCCGCTGTAGAGACGTATCCATTGATCGTGAAACTGCAGCTCCGTCGCGGGCGGGTCCACTACACGTCTTCCTATTCTCGGGGGACTCGGTCGATGACTCATCCTGCTCAACTGGCAAGTCACTTAGCTTCAAGAAGTGCAACTTCCATCTTTCAATATCTTCATTAGGGGGCAGGCCACCGACTTTCTTCCGATGTTCGCTCAACAGCCAGTGCCATTCACGAAACTTGGCAGGGATGCTCAAAGCCTGCCGAACCTTCGTCATGTCCGGGTCGAGGACGAGCTTCTTTCGGATTGCATCATCTGCAAGCAAAAGACAAAAGTTGGTCAGACACACGACAGGAAAAATCCCTCAACAAACATAGCAGACCAAAGGGATGCAACTTACCGTTGTGAGGAAGGCTTGTTAGCGGCAAGAGAAGATCTTGGCTGCCCCCGCTGTAGAGACGTATCCATTGATCGTGAAACTGCAGCTCCGTCGCGGGCGGGTCCACTGCACGCCTTCCTATCCTCGGGGGACTCGGTTGATGACTCATCCTGCTCAACTGGCAAGTCACTTAGCTTCAAGAAGTGCAACTTCCATCTTTCAATATCTTCATTAGGGGGCAGGCCACCGACTTTCTTCCGATGTTCGCTCAACAGCCAGTGCCATTCACGAAACTTAGCAGGGATGCTCAAAGCCTGCCGAACCTTCGTCATGTCCGGGTCGAGGACGAGCTTCTTTCGGATTGCATCATCTGCAAGCAGAAGACAAAAGTTGGTCAGACACACGACAGGAAAAATCCCTCAACAAACATAGCAGACCAAAGGGATGCAACTTACCGTCACAGTAGGTGAGAGGAACGAGAGGACCGTCGCCAACCTCCCTTTCCCATCTGCCACTGACCTCCAGCACATCCTTGCTCCACACATGATCGCCTTGACTTAAACTATCAAACAACTTGGGCTTGCGCGCACGAAGTTAGGCATACTTCTCAAAGCGTCTCACCTCGAAGAAATAGAAGAATTCCTGCACTGTCAAATCTAGCTTGAAGAAGTGACTCAAATTTTCAAAGCAGATGACCGCTAGATAAACGTTTGGAGTACACTGGCTCGGGGCACACTCCATGGCGCAAAGCACATCCCTGAAAAATTTCGACATCGGAAACGTGAAGCCTAGCGAGAAATAGAAGGGGCGGAACATGATGATCCTGGCACCTGGATTGTTCGAATCCACCCGTGGTACGCTGTCGGACGAGGGCTCTGCTAACTTGACATGTACGTCCTTGGGAATGGCAAAATTGAAAAGGGCACGCCATGTTTTGAACTGGGCCTCGGTGGTGACACGGTGCAGATTGGCCACAAACTTCTCTTTGGGAACTTGAGAGCCACCCCAAAGGTACAAGGGTACTTGCGAGCTTGGTGATCGGCACCTTCTTTCAGAAGACATGGTCGTTGAGTAGCTGCAAAGAATAACAAAGGAAATTGCAGGTTAAAATTCCTAGCTCGTGAACACACAAAAAAGAAGAAAAGAAAAAAAACAGCAACAGCAGGAAAAAAAAGGAAGCAATAAAAGCTGGCCATCTACTCAGATTCCTAGCTCATGACCGACTTTCCTTTGAGATCAATCCTCCACAGCCCTGGTACTTCTCAGCGACTCATGAAGTGGGCTATAGAGCTAAGCCAATACGACCTCCTCTACCGACCGAAGACTGCAATAAAAGCTCAAGCCTTAGCAGACTTTGTTGCAGAATTCACACCATCAGCCGAAGAAGAGAAGCTGGTCAGCAAAAAGAAGGAAAGTTCGAGAGCAGACAAGACCTCTACTGAACCTGACCAACCCATAGACATGTGGCAGTTGCGCGTAGACGGAGCGTCGAACCAGAAAGGAGCTGGAGTAGGCGTCGTCATCATCACCCCAGATGGAACCCTGTTAGAGCAAGCTATCACGCTTGGCTTCCCGGCTTCAAACAACGAGGTAGAGTACGAGGCATTGCTCGCTGGCTTGCGCTTAGCAAATGAGCTATCAATCAAAAAGCTGGCCATCTACTCAGATTCCCAGCTGATCACAAGTCAAGCCTCAGGAGAATACATGGCGAAGCACCCAAGGATGATCTTGTACCTTGACAAAGTCCAAGAGTTGTTGAAGGCGTTTCCCACCTTCACCATCCAGCAAGTTCCCAGAGCAGAGAACGCGCACGCAGATGCACTGGCAAGCTTAGGATCGGCTCTGGATACCTAGTTCAGACGCTCCATCCCGGTCGAGCACCTTGACCAGCCTAGCATAGAAGAGGCAGAGCAGCCGGACCTGATGCAGATCGATGAGGATCCTAGCTGGCAAGACCCAATTATTGACTACCTAGCGAATGAAAACCTGCCCAAGGACAAGTCCGAGGCCAGAAAAATCAAGCAAAAGGCTGCAAGATACTACATGAAAGGCGACATGCTTATCCGCAGATTATACTACGGGCCTCATCTCACTTGCATCAAGTACCCACAAACGCTCGAGGTTCTCTGCAAGATACACAACGGCGAATGTGGAAATCACGTTGGGGGCAGATCGCTTGCTCAGAAGGCTCTCAGCATAGGCTATTTCTGGCCTACCATGCGCCAAGACTCCACGGAGTATGCTCGAAGATGTGATCGATGCCAACGCTACAAGCCGGTCCCTGGCCTGCCCGCTGAGGAATACCATCCTCCGAACAGTCCATGGCCATTCATGCAGTGGGCCATTGACTTGGTGGGACCTATGCCGACGGCACCTGCCAATAAAGAGATGATGATCGTTGCCACTGATTACTTCACCAAATGGATCGAGGCCGAGGCTTTATCTTCTACCAAGGAGGCCGATGTTGAACGGTTCATCTGGAAGAACATTATTTGCAGATTCGGTTGCCCGCAATCGATACTCACCGACAATGGTACACAGTTCGTGGGCAGGCAGATCACCGCATTCTTTGCGAAGTATGGCATCAAACAACACCTGTCAACACCCCGATACCCGCAAGGCAATGGCCAAGCAGAGGCATCCAACAAGATAGTGTTGGACTGCCTAAAGAAAAGACTGGAAGGCGCAGAAGGAAAATGGGTCGACGAGCTGCCAGGAGTCCTATGGGCTTATTGCACGACCAAAAGGAGATCGACCGGAGAGACACCATTTTCCCTGGCCTATAGGACAGAAGCAATCATTCCCCCAGACATCACAGTCCATTCCATGAGCATTGAGGTGGGCAGTCTTGACCAAAACTGCAAGCAAATGAAAGTCAACCTTGATATGCTCAAAGAAGAACGAGAAAAGGCCATTGTTCGAGTTGCCGCCTACCAGCAGCAGTTGACGTCCTACTACAATAAGAAGGCCAAGATCAGACAGTTTCAGCCTGGAGACCTTGTGCTTAGAAAAACTTTCATCACAGCACCAAGGCAAGGGTCAAAGAAGATGAAGCCAAACTGGGAAGGCCCCTACGTGATCAGCCGATCTGGGGGCAGAGGAAGTTACACCCTTGATACTCTAGAAGGAAAAGAAATTCTGAGACAATGGAATGCCCACCACCTTCGAAGATACTATCCATGAAACTCTTCGCTTACCAGCTTGGCTGCTAGCAGGCGACGAGCCTCCTGTACTTCCATTAAAGACGAACTACTTTTGATGTTACCTTTGCTGTTAATTTCCTTTATTCAATAAAGCGATGTATTCACACCAACATCAATACAAGAGCAAGCTTTTCAATGAAGTACTTTTTTTAGCATTATGTCGTACGAACATACACATGGCGGCGACAAGCCTCATCTCCATTGCAGACAGGCTACTTCACGAAGCACAAACTCAATGGAGTCTTTTTCGAGGGTTGTGTCCCTGACATGCGCTCGCAGGCGACAAGCCTCATCTGCATTGCAGACAGACTGCTTCACGAAGCACAAACTCAATGGAGTCTTTTTCGAGCATTGTGTCCCTGACATACGCTCGCAGGCGACAAGTCTCATCTCCATTGTAGACAAGCTGCTCCACAAAGCACAAACTCAATGGAGTCTTTTTCGAGCGTTGTGTCCCTGACATACGCTCGCAGGCGACAAGCCTCATCTCCATTGCAAACAGGCTGCTTCACGAAGCACAAACTCAATGGAGTCTTTTTCGAGCATTGTGTCCCTGACATACGCTTGCAGGCGACAAGCCTCATCTCCATTGCAGACAGGCTGCTTCACGAAGCACAAACTCAATGGAGTCTTTTTCGAGCATTGTGTCCCTGACATACGTTCGCAGGCGACAAGCCTCATCTCCATTGCAGACAAGCTGCTCCACGAAGCACGAACTCAATGGAGTCTTTTTCGAGCATTGTGTCCCTGACATACGCTCGCAGGCCACAAGCCTCATCTCCATTGCAGACAAGCTGGTCCACGAAGCACGAACTCAATGGAGTCTTTTTCGAGTATTATGTCCCCGACATATGCTCGCAGGCGACAAGCCTCACCTCCACTGAAGACAAGCTACTCCTCGAGTACAAACTTCATGGAGTCTTTTCAAGCGTCATGTCCCCGACATACGCACACAGGCAACGAGCCTTACCTCCATTGTAGGCAAGCTACTTCACGAGTACAAACTCAATGGAGTTTCTTTCAAGTGTTGTATCTCCGGATATACACTTACAAGATACAATGAGAATTGAAGTTTGAAAGATAACTGAAAATTCCATAACAAAGCAGCCAACTAGCACCATCTACTCAACGGCCTCACCTGCCTGCTCCTTCGCATATGGTCTAACCTTATCAGCTACGCCACCTTGGGAGTTGTCTTCCTCCATTGCAGTTTCATCTGCTATCTGCTCTTCAACTGCTTCTGCATCCACAACATTGCTCTGCTCACTTTGAGCAGGGGGAAGGTCAAGATAAAGCTGCTTACCGTCTTCATGTTCGAGAGGGCAACAAGGAGAAGCACTATTCCTGCAATCCGAGTATCCCAGCTTGTACGCATTAGCAATAATCTCATGCTTGGATGCCTCCGTGGCTTCAACATGAGTGTCGAACTTGACCAGCGGAGCTATCGCTAACTTCTGGATCCGCAGTTCGTGCAACTTAAGGACTCTTTGCTCGAGCAGACGACTCTTTAGCTCTCTTGGCCATAACTTGCAACATTGAGTCAGCTCCGCGCTTGACTGTTCGTGGCTTTGCAGACGAGTCGTGATTGCTAGATGGATGTACAGTCCTCTCAGTTTGATCCCAGGATCGGCACAAGCAACTCAAACCCTGCTTCTCAATAGCCTTCTCACAGGGTAGATCATGGGTTTTAGGCAGTTCGAGCGGATACCTGAGCAGAATATCCCGAACCTCCTGCATGCCATTGATCTTCTTACTGTTTGCGATGACGAGGCGCTTGATCCTGGCATATGAAGAAGCAACTCCCATATGGACATTCTCAGTAGACGAGACCCCCTTACGGAAGACTTGCTCGTGGAAGAATGAGGAAGCTTGGTCGAGGACTTCTCCTGCTCAACTAGCAGATCATCTAGGTTCGAGCCATGCAACTCCCATCTTTCAACATCTTCGATTGGGGGCAAGCCACCACCTTTTTCCGATGTTCACTCAGCAACCAACGCAATCCACAGAACCTGGCAAGGATGTTCAAAGCTTGATGAACATTAGTCGTGTCCAGGTCGAGATCGAGCTTCTTGTGGATGTCATTTTCTACAAGCAGGAGACAGAAGTCAGTCAGACACACAACAAAGAATTCCATGGCAACTGTAGCAGATCAAAGGGATGCAACTTACCATCACAGTAGGTGAGAGGAATGAGCAGACCGTCGCCAACCTCCCTTACCCGTCTGCTGCTGACTTCCAACATGTCCGTGCTCCACACATGATCGCCTTGACTCATACTGTTCCTAGTTCGTGACACAAAAAGAAGAAGGAATTGAAGCAGTTTGGATCAACCACAAATAAGCCGACCCAAACTGCCACCTGCTCCAGCAGCAGGCCGGCTTGCCTCCAGCCCAGTTACAGCTGAACAACCCAAGTCAAAGACCAGTTGGCAAGTCAAAAGCCTCCTCCATTCAGGAGCCCAAATCCAAGGAGGAAGCCCAGTTACAGCTGGACAGCCCAACAAACAATTCGCATCTCCTACATGCCACCACGTGCCATGCAGAAGCTGGGGGGCATTTGTGGGAACCGAATTAAATCATACCCTAGGTCAAATAATTCCTTCCATTTGGGGATTATTTGACCTAATTGGGAATTACTCAACCTAATTGGGAGTTACTCAATTTAATTGGGAGTTACCCAATTCAATTGAGAATTACCTAGTTAAGTTGGGAATTGATTTGATTCCTACCCCAATTCCCAATTAAATGAGGAGTTACCTAATTAAATTAGGATTTGATATGATACCTACCACAATTAGGGATTTGATTTACCCTAATAAATCAAATCCCTAATTAATCAAATCAATGCCAAATAGGAGATAATCTATGGAATTATTCCTCTGAAACCCTAATCTCCGAGACCATTATAAATACTTGGCTACGCACAAAGGTCAAGGTACGTCTAAATTCCTACTGAAACTCTGCAGAAATTATTTCTCACAAACCCTAGCCACCACTTTCTTTCTCTCTCTGACACAAGGCTCCGGCCACCACACACGGCTCCGGCCACCCGGTTTTCCTTGAAATACCCTACCTAACTTAGGCATCGGAGGGCCTTTGGCCAACACCCCCCGGGTGTGGTCCTTTTACCCCGATCTGTTTTGCAAGGAGAAAGAGAAGTGGAGAAGATGAAGGAATCTTAGACGAATATTCTCGTGAGGAAATTTGTACAAACATTGGCTATGATTTTACCACTTGGAAATCCTATTTCAATAAGATGTCGGTTTTTTAATTAGGTACGTCGTGTTTTAGGAACAGCCATTTGAATCTCCATTTTTTAGTTGTCTAAGGTGTTATTACACGGCGGTTTTATAAAACCGTCGTCTTTTAAAAAACAACGACGGTTTTCACTTAGACTGTCGTTTTTTTCTGGTCGTCTTTTTCACTTTTTGTAGTAGTGACCCTACTCACTATATGAACCCCTAATCAAATTAAGCAAAAAATCATACTTCAAAAACCTTAGTATTAACTCCAACAATTTGTTTCATCATTATTTTGTAATTCATTGATGCAAACAAGATGTTAAGAGCCAGTAGTGTGGCCTAATCAACTGAGAAATCTACAATTACAGAAAATTGCAAGGTCTGGTTGAAATCCAAAAATTAGCTAGGGAGAGCTATAGCTTGAGAGAACCTGCAGCAGCTGCACCAACACTTTGTTTGGACTTCCTGGTGTTCAAGACGAGCCTAGTCTTATAGTAAGCATGAGAAGCATAGAAGTCTGAGACGGCCATTTTGATGCAAGCTATGAAGCACGGATACGCCTGGAGACCAGCGTATCCCGTGTCTGATACGCAGAGGATACGATACGCAGCGAATACGCGATGATACGGACGGGATACGTATCCGAGTCAACGGATACGGTCAATCACAAAAGGATACGTGTATCTGACATGACAGATACGGGTATCCCAATTTGAGGATACGATTTAGGAAAAAATTTCAGAAAAAAAATTAAAATTAGAATTTTGACAGAACTAGGAAATCTTGAACAACATGGATACCTGTTTTGTTTAGGAACTTTGAAGATCTTTTCCTAATTGAATTCCTACAGACAGATCTTCATCTTCTTTATATAAATAAAGAAGAAGGAAAACCAACCATACCCGTACCAGCAATTCATCTTCTTCTTCTTCTTCTTCTTCTTCATCAAATCTTCTTCATCTTCTTCACCACCCAAATAAAAGAAGCTTGGTTCTTCAATTCATCCGTCAGTTTGGTATGTTCACCTCGCTCTCTCTCTATCTGATACTGTTCTCTTCTCTTCTCTGATAGATAGTGTTTTCATTCCTTTGATTTTGATTTTGAGTTGTTCAAATAATACAGTGATGTCGTTTTGATTGGAACCCAACCCAACATGTCGTTTTGTCAAATTAATGTATTATTATTAAAGTGACCCACTTCTCAACACAGCCGACCCACTCCTTTTGTACAAATTAATTTATTATTGTTATAAATTTTTGTTTTTGCCAACTTATTATTATTATATTTCATATATATATATATACTTGCAAGTTCACATTATTATATTTCATATTATTATATTTCCTTTTGTACCAATTTGATTGTTATAAAAAAAGAAAAATTGTGGTTAGTTAATTTAATAATATTATATTTAATATGTTGAATTTTTTTTATATTCAGGAACATGAGTCATTCGGATAATAATGTAAGTGCTAATGTTAATCATGCTGAGAATAATGAAATCGAGATAGATGATCATGCGCCATTATGGAAGTATGTTAAAAGGCTTGACAAGTTAGGAAAAGGAGGAGGAAATACTATGTTTGAATGCAATTATTGTCATAATACTTACAAAGGCTCCTACTCTAGAGTCAAGTTTCATTTGTTGAAAATGTCGGGCAACGGGATTGCACCTTGCAAAAAGGTTACTGATGAAGTTTTTGCAGAAATGAAAAAACTTATGAGAGAATGTGAACACCAGTTGAAAAGTGCAGCTCCAAGACAAGTGTCTTTGCCTAATACTGATTCTTTAATTTGTTCTTCTATGTCTAATGTTGAGCAAAAGAAGAGAAAGGGAATGAATGGGCCCCTTGATAGAGCTTTTCAAAATGAGGCTAGAGAACAATGTGATGCTGAAGTTGCAAGGATGTTTTATACAGGTGGATTGTCCTTCCACCTGGCAAGGAATCCACATTATCGAAACTCCTATTTTCGTGCTTCTACGCTTCCAGGATATGTTCCACCAAGTTACAATGCACTAAGAACTACTCTTTTGCAACAAGAGAAGAGGCACATTGAGCGATGTTTACAACCAATCAAGAGTACATGGAGCACTAAAGGTGTAAGTGTGTGTAGTGATGGGTGGACAGATTCACAAAGAAGACCACTTATTAACATTATGGCAACTTGTGAGAGCGGGCCTATGTTCTTGAAGGGAATTAATTGTGATGGAGAGTACAAGGACAAACATTGTATTGCCAACTTTCTTATCGATGCCATTAAGGAAATTGGTTATCAAAATGTGGTTCAAGTAATCACTGACAATGCACCAGTTTGTAGAGCTGCTGGATTACTTGTTGAGGCTAGATATCCCAATATCTTTTGGACACCATGTGTGGTTCACACTCTTAATCTTGCTTTGAAGAGCATATGTTCACCAAAACAAAATGACGATTGGTATGATAAATGTAGTTGGATTTCAGAGATTGCTGCTGATGTTGGGTTCATAAAAATTTTTATTGTGAACCATAATATGAGATTGACTATGTATAAGGACCACTGCAAATTGAAGCTGCTCTCCATTGCTGAAACAAGGTTTGCATCTACACTTGTGATGATTAGAAGATTTAAGGAAGTAAAGGAAGGTCTAGAACAAATGGTGATTAGTCCAAACTGGTCTTTATATAAAGAGGATGATGTTGGCAAAGCAAGAGCAGTGAAGGAAAAGATATTGGATGAATACTTTTGGGATGAGATTGATTATATCCTTTCCTTTACAGCTTCTATATATGAGATGATTAGGATGACTGACACAGATAAACCTTCTCTTCATTTGGTTTATGAGTGGTGGGATACCATGATAGAAAAGGTGAAGGCAGCTATCTATAGGAAAGAGCACAAGCAACTGCATGAACAAAGCGACTTTTTTGATGTGGTGTATCAAATTATACTGGAGCGATGGACTAAGAGTAGCACACCACTCCATTGTTTGGCACATTCTTTAAATCCTAAGTAAGTATTATGTGCTTATTTCCTTTTAAAGTATTTAATCTACTTTCTATACTATGATAATTTTATAAAATAATACCACACTTTACTTTTAGGTTTTATAGTCCAGAATGGCTGCAAGAGGATCCTAGTCGTGTTGCTCCACACCAAGATGCCGAGATTACAAGGGAAAGAAAAAAATGTCTTGAGAAATACTTTTCAGATGACCGGGCTAGAAGAGATATCAATGTGGAGTATGCCTCTTTTTCAATGTGCTTAGATGACTTTGGAGCTATTGATGCTATGAATGATAGGTTTCACATGGAACCAATGGTGTGGTGGATTGTTCATGGATCTTCAACACCAAATCTCCAATCCATAGCTTTGAAGCTACTTGGACAACCTTGTTCCTCCTCCTGTTGTGAAAGAAATTGGAGTACATATAGTTTCATTCACTCTTTAAGAAGAAATAAGTTAACACCCCAAAGAGCTGAAGACTTGGTATTTGTGCATAATAATCTTCGTCTTTTATCAAGGAAGAGCCCAAGCTACAAAGAAGGTGTTACTCAAATGTGGGATATTGGAGGAGATGGATTTGATAACTTGGGTGAAGAAGGTGTTGGGATGCTTGAAATTGCTAACCTTTCTCTAGATGAACCATCATTGGAGGTTGCTTTATTTACCGGAGAAGACATTACAAATATTGTAGTTGATTGAAAGTTTTGTTTTGTTTATTTTTATTTTTCTAGAGTTTAAATTTGAATTTGGTTGATGAATTTGAATTTTTATGTTAATTAAAATATGTTTTCAATTATATATATTGTTATTATTATATTTTAATATAAATTTTTAATTGCCGTATCCATAACGTATCGTATCCTAGTTTTTGGAGATTTGCCGTATCCCCGTGTCGTGTCGTATCGTATCGCCGTATCCGTATCCGTGTCCGTGCTTCTTAGGATGCAAGTCAACCAAATCTTCCTACTCATGAGTGTATTAAGGTCATCGAGAACAACCCCCACATTCACTGGGATAATGGTTTTGTTTTGCACCATGGCCAAGGAAATCCATGAACAAAGAAAGAGGAAGAGGATAGAAACAAGAGGCTTAAGCTTGCAAGGGTTTTTCTTGATCATTTTGAAATTTTTGAAGCTGCTTAGTCCAAAGAAACCTATTTATATGGACATGGTGTGGTATAAGAATTCCAAAGTCCTTAAAACAATCCATTCAATATAGTTGCGATGCCGTTGGCATATTTCGGATACGAAAATAACAAACACTACTGACTCTGGCTAGGTTCTAATTAACAAATCAATGTTCGACAGTTCACCACCGAAAGTCCAAGAGATATTCGGTGGGGCAACGCCGAACGATAATAAGAAATGTTTGGTGTTGTGTGATAGAGTGTATTAGGGTATAATATGGATATTTTTGGTAGTTAAATAAGGTGTATTTAATTAATTTTACATTTTGATTTAAATATTAGAATGTACTACTCACTTACACAGTAAATTTTAGGGTTTCTTTAAATTTTAGGGTGTATTATCTTTGGTTTTACCCGAAAGCTTTTGTCCTCTGTCAGCTAATTTACTTAGCGGCGCCGCTGCTCCTCTCAAACTCTTAACTCTACGTCACGTCACTCTGTTGTAAGGTAAGTCCTCTTCGAACTGTCCTTCTCTCTTTCATATCTCTGTCAACGTATTGTTAGTATTTTTCTGAGTATCACCATCCAAGACTTCGTCCTCTTTGGGTATGGTTCCAGCAAGTGAAGACTTATTAAGGTTTTATGTTTTGTTTTCAGTTTTCAGTTTGTTTGCAGCTTGTATTTGGTGGGTTTATTAACGTGTCAAGTTAAACACACATTAGTTCAGATTTCTTTTTGTTTTAGTCAAAATTTTACCATTTCTTATCAAGTTATAATTCATTACTAACCTTCAGTTGGTAAGGTCCCTGCACTGTGTGTAGCCCCACCAGTGTTTGAGTCCCGCTTTCAGTAGTCTTCTCAAGGTTGTGGCTCAACTTGGATGCCACACGTAAGTCCTTCCGTCTCGAGGTTGTGGGTCTGCCTTAGCGCTGGTAATGAGAGTAGCCAATCTCCCCTTAAATTTTTGGGTAGCAAATAATTCGTTACTAACCAAAGTTTCAATTTTCGTTGGAAAATCTCTTTATAAGCAGCTCAACATGCATTTTTCCCTCTGTTTCATTAGCATAATTAATAGTTTGCATCTTATGTGCGCCTGTATAGCAAATTATGATATTTTGTGTTGGGGACCATATTGTCTTTTGTGTTCATATTTGTCAGAGTAAAAAGAAAGTAAAATGTAATAAGGTGGGGTGGAAAGGCCAATTACAAGGACGGCTTGGTTTTTTTCTCAAGTTCTGTCAGATTTCTTTAAACAACTTTGTTTTGTGGTGTTTGACATCAATTTCCCTTTCATAGTGAAAGTTATGATTTTGGTGATGAAATTAGTGATTCAGTAGAATAGGTTCACTACATGTATTTAGTTATCTCTGTTTATAGAAGGGAGTTTCACTAAAACACCCAAAATAGAGGTTGAAATTATAAAAAAACCCAACACCCAAAACACTTTATAAACACACCCAAAACCCATCATTACACACACTCAAAACCCATTTATAAACACACCCAAAAAGTTGACTTTGGGGTTGATTTTGGGTGTGTTTCTATGTTTAAATAGTGCTTGGGTTTTTTTATAAATACATGTCTAGGATTGGGTTTATTTATAAATTTGTATTTATAGAATCCATGTTAATGGTGATTTTGTATGCCACCTGCTGGTAGGTACTGATACCAAATGGGAAACATGGTGCAATATAACTTCAAGAAGATGGTGCAATATAACTTGATTTTATTTTTTTGTAAACAGACCAATAAGTAAACATGGTGCAATATAACTTCAAGAAGATGACTGTTGTACCAAATGGGAAGGACTTCATTGACATAATCCTATCTCGCACCCAGAGGCAGACCCCAACTGTAGTCCACAAGGGTTGTGCCATTTCCTCCCTCCGCGGGTTCTATATGCGCAAAGTGAAATTTACCGAAGATAGTTTTCAAAAGAAGCTCTCCACAATTATTGATGAGTTTCCTAGGCTGGATGACTTCCACCCTTTCTATGGCGACCTTCTTCATGTTCTCTACAACAAAGACCATTACAAGCTTGCACTTGGCCAGATCAACACTGCAAGGAACCTTATTGGAAAGATTTGTAAAGATTATGTGAAAGTATGGTGATTCACTTTACCAATGCAAATGTCTCAAGGTCGCTGTCTTGGCCGCATGTCCACGGTTATAAAGAGTATTGGTCCTAGTTTAGCTTACCTAGAACAAATTAGGCAACACATGGCAAGGCTACCTTCGATTGACCAAGACACTATTGATTTGTGGCTATCCGAATGTTGGAAAGAGCTCATTCATTAACAAGATCACTAGGGCTGATGTGGATGTCCAGCCATATGCTTTTACCACTAAGTCACTCTTTGTGGGACATACAGATTATAAATACTTGAGGTACCAGGTAATTGATACACCAGGAATTTTGGACCGCCCATTTGAAGACCGTAACATTATTGAGATGTGCAGCATCACAGCTTTGGCCCACTTGGGAGCTGCGGTGCTGTTTTTCTTAGACATCTCGGGGTCTTGTGGGTACAGCATTGCCCAACAGGCAGCTCTTTTTCACAGTATTAAGTCTCTGTTTATGAACAAACCGTTGATTATAGTCTGCAACAAGACTGATTTGCAGCCATTGGAGGGTATATCCGAAAAAGACAAGAAGTTGGCATGGAGATGAAAGCTGATGCTATGAAGACAACGATTGGTCTAGGAGGTGAGGCTACGAATGATGAGGGGGTACTCTTGACCATGAGCACTCTGACCGAAGAGGGGGTGATTGCTGTAAAGAATGCAGCTTGTGAGAGGTTGTTGAATCAGAGAGTGGAATCGAAGATGAAATCCAAAAAGATAAATGACAGGTTAAATCGTTTTCATGTTGCAATGCCAAAGCCACGTGACAATAAGGAAAGGTCCCCATGTATACCTCTGGCAGATTTAGAAGCTAAGGCTAAGCAAGCAGCGGGGAAGGAAAAGAGAAATACAGAAAAGGATTTGGAGAATGAGAACGGTGGTGCAGGTGTATACTCTGCCAGTTTGAAGAAGAATTATATCTTAGCTAATGATGAATGGAAAGAGGATGCCATGCCAGAAATTCTTGATGGGCACAATGTATACGACTTTGTCGTTCCTGATATTTTGCTTAGGCTTGAGGAGTTGGAACAAGAAGAAAGACGCCGGCAGGCAGAGGGTGATAATGATTTTGAGATGAATGGATTGGAATTGACTACAGAAGTGCAAAAGACACTGGCTGAGATAAGGAAAAAGAAGAGCTTGCTTATTCAACAACATAGAATCAAGAAAAGTACAGCAGAGAGTCGACCAACTGTACCAAGGAAATCTGACAAGGACAGGGAGTTCACAACAAAGAGAATGGGGAGGCAGCTATCAAAGTTGGGGCTTGATCCTACTATGGCTATTAACCGAGTTCGAAGCAGATCTGTCTCTACTAGGGGCCGGAGGAGGAAGAGATCACTTGACATGGATGATACTGATGGTGGTGATGCTGTGGATATGGATACACCCAACAAGAAGCAATGCATGTTATCTAGATCCTGTTCGAGGTCAAGATCTTGGCCTCAAACTGAAGTTGTCCCTGGAGAGGGGTTCAAGGACTCTGCTCAAAAGGCTAGGGCACTACAAAGGGCCAATAAATCTAATAAGATGAGAAACAGGAATGCTCGTCGTGGAGAGGCAGATAGGGTCATTCCCACTTTAAAACCAAAGCACTTGTTCTCTGGAAAACGCTCAATTGGAAAAATCCAAAGGCGTTAAAATATTTGAGGTACTCAGAGACATTGCATCACTTTCAATTCAGCTTGTCTTTGTTTTGAGCACTCATTGGAAAAAGTTATATGTTGGTTTTCCTTGTTCTCAGACCAGCTTTAGGGGTATACGTATGTTTTATTCATATTACATGTTTCTTTGGGACCAAGTGCATTCGATTTTTTGTGTCAAATTATATGCATACCTCATCAACTTACGCATCCAACCATGTATTAGATGAGGATGTGTGAGAATAACATTCTCTTAGCTACCAGATGGAAGTTTTTGGTCCATTAGGAAATGCTAGAGTCATTAATCAGTAAAATTAATCTCCTGTTCTGGGGTGTTGATTTTCACTTGATAACGACTGAGGTATTAAGACTGAAGAAGTAGATTTGTCATCTGCTCAATATTCTCTGTTGCTGCTAGCAATCAACGTACTTTTTCGTTTTGCAGGGAGGTATGCCTGTGCTGTGTTGTATTATGCACCGTAGAGTGTGCTTGCTGCTGGAAAAGAACTTGGTTCTTTCATCACTGGTTCGGCAGGAGGTTGCAGCATGCGAGATCATGCAACCAGCGTCTTCACAGTTTCCTCATTTTCCAGTTGTATTTTTGTTTAGGAAATTTTGGATCTGAGATATGCCTCAGTTCCAATATTTTTGGTGGATTTGAATTTATAAGACATGTCTTTACCCTTTGCTTCTGTAATTTTGTCGTTCGACAAAATGTGAAACATGGCCCAAGTAAAATTACTGTCTTTCCAATATTCTGCAAGGTATTAACAGTGATAAAGCATTTGGATTAAACAGGGGCGTTTTAACAAATTCTGAGCTATTTTTAAGATCCAGTTATGTTGGCTTTCTAATACTCGGATGTTCTTTAATTTTTATAAACCCTTAGGCCCCATTTGGTAGGCTGGATGAACCGGACTCAATATTTTCAATTAAAATGGACACGAGTCTTGGCCATTATTTGGTGAGCTTCAAGTGCGTCTAGGACTGGATATGTGCTTAGGATCCAAGTCCCAAATAATTGGGGCTTAGAAATCCAACCCCAGACGTGGGTTTCGAAGCTAGAGAGCCATCTCTCTTCTTCTTCTCTCTCTCTCTTCTATTCCTTCTCTGTGCTCTCCTCTCTCTTCTCTCGCTTCTCTGTTCTCTCTTCTTCTTCTCTCTCTCTTCCCCTCTTCTCTTCTCTTCTTCTCTCTTATCTCAGATCCTCTCTCTCTTCCCCTCTGCCATATCTTTTCCGCTGCCATATCTAGACCTCAGATCTTCTTTGAGATATGAAGGGATGTAGCTGAGAAGAAGTCTGAAGATGACGACTCGTTTTTTTTTTTTTTTTTTTTTTTTTTTTTTTTTTTTGTTGGATGGATTGAATCGATTTTGTTGTAATTAATTTGGAAATGAGAATAAAAAATGAATTTAAAAAAATATGGAATACTAATCTCAACTTTGGTGTTGTATTGCACCAAACAACTTCTTAAAATCCGATCATATCCCAACCAGTCAGGTATAATGCAGAAATGTTAATCTAATTCAGTCTAGTCTAGCCTACCAAATGGGGCCTTATCGTACTTGGAAACTGGAGGACTTCCTCATGTTGCAAGTGCAAGTTTTGTGGTCAATGCCATCAGAACAGATGTTGCCTTCATTTCCTCGAAAGTAAAGCTTTCCTCCAGAGAATTTTTTTCTATCTCTGTTGGAAATAAAATGAGAGTCGCAAACGTGGTTGAATTATTTCATGGAATGGAACAGTTGCTTTGTTGGCCTACATTTCGATTCCCAATGTTCACTCCCTTGTCTAACGCTTCTTGTATTTTCAGATCTGTTGCAAGTGGAAGACGAATGAGAAAAGAATTTCAATGTGTTTCAATATTTTCTTTTTCCTCTATCCGACTGTATAATTTAAATTTTGTAAATTAGTAAGGTCAATTGAATGTGTTTGATGGCTTAAGGTGAAATTAGTATTATAATGTAGGATAGTTTTTTTTTTTTTAAAGTTAAAAAAAGTAAGGGATTCAATGCAAGTTTGGGAGAAAGTCGTCTCAACGGGGACAGGGACGGGAATTCCCCTCATATCTTGGAATTGCACCTCTATTTTGGTTTCAATTCTAATTTGGATGACCTAGAAATCTTTATTTTCTGTTCTTATGTTGTTTCAATCCTGTAAGCTTTTAACTTTCCCAACTTTTATCAAACAAAAATACCTCGTCTGAATCATATGTCAATGTTTGCTTCCAAATTGGCCAATTTTACAGTTAGATGGCCAGTTTCTTTTTACTTCTCTCTTTCTTTTCCATTTTTCATGCATTAGTAGTACATGTATACATTCATACATATACAAACATAGATAAATAATTTATATAACACATAAACCTATTAAGAACACTCTACACCAAGGGTGTTTCAAATCTCCTGAATCCAGGAGAGTTTAACATCATTGATCTGTTGGAAGGGGCCAATAAGGGGTATACTTGGACAATTTATTTCTCTCAACTTGAATCCAATGAGGCTGGCCTTGGAAAGTTTGAACATAAGCAGGAGGGATTCGTAAAGGGAGCTGATTTCCCCACTCCCCTTTTCTCCACTTACACTCCCTTTTACTTTTTAATACTTTTTAATCAATTTTGTTCTTTCTTTTTCCTATTCTATCCTTACTCTACATTAATTTCTTTTTTACTTCACTTTTATATTATTTCTTTTTCTTTATACTTAATTTTCCAACTTACACTCCATTTTCAGTATTAAAGGGGAAAAAAAACTTAATTTCTTACTCGATTAAAGGAAAAAAATACTGAAAATGTAGTGCAAGTTGGAAAATTAAGTATAAAGAAAAATAACTAATATAAAAGTGAAGTAAAAAAGAAATTAATGTAGGGTAAGGATAGAATAGGAAAGAGAAAGAACAAAATTGATTAAAAAGTATTAAAAAGCAAAATAGAGTGTAAGTGGAGAAAAGAAGAGTGAGGAAATCATATCCCTTCATAAATCCTCTAGACGTAGAACACGCAAGGCCTTAAACCCTCGAGCTATTTTTTCGCATGACCTCCCTTACAGTATGGTCACCATAATAGAGTTTAACCACCAAGTTTGGAAAGGATTAGCATGGTTCCTCTACTCTAGGACTCTAGAATATCAAACCATGAATGAAGAAAGGCATGAGAGAAGAAGCATATTAGCTAGTGATTGTGAGGCCCAAATTCTTGATTGGAGTGCTTAGGTCATGCACTTTTTAAGATGTGGAACCTTGGCTTCAAAATAGGGGGAGTTTTTTTTTTTTTTTTTTTTATTTATGCTATTGGTGAAATGATAGAATCCATAAAAATTATTCAACATGCTCTGGAAGGAATTTCATTATTCAACATGCTCTGGAAGGAATTTCATGAGGACCCTATGAGAATTTAGAAATACGATACTTTGATAGAGAAAGGAATCCATAATGGAATGATTTTGAATATCGATGTAACTACCTAACATAATTGTTTAGTTTTTTTCTTTGGAATAATTATATTTTACCCCTTCAATGTTTAAACTATGTGTAGGGATCCCTCATGTCTTTTTCTAGAATTGGGTGGGAATATGTGGTACTCTTTTTACTTGATCAGATTTTCCTCCATTAGTAGGTTTTTTTATGGCTAAGTTTTAATTGAGGCTCACTTCTTGAGGGCTTTTTTGTTTTTTTTTTTTTTTTTTTTTTTTTTTTTTTTTTGGTATTTGATTGTTTCTTCAGTTAATGAATTTGTTCTTTCTTCTTGATAAATAAATAAAAAATAAAAAATTTATGTGTCAATTTAATACCTCATGTTAAAAAGTTGGAATGTGAGAATGAAATCTAGTTTTCGGACCACCTTAATATCTAAATCTGCGAACTAGGATAAAAGACTGCCAAGCCCAGAAAATGGACCCAAAATAGCTCACTTAATAAAATAAGATGGATGTAACCAAAAAAATAAAATAAAAAATAAGATGGAAAATTTACATAAATATCACCTAAATTTTTAGCTATGTGCTTGATTATCATATAAACTTTCAATTTTTACTATTAACCACCTTAACTTTGCAAAGTGTAGCAATTTATCTCATACGTACAACTCCGTTAAAATTTCTGTTAAATAAAGTCACACATTGAACATGTGATATATTTTAAAGGAAATTTTCATTAATTTATTATAATTTTTTTGCCAAATCAATTTATTATAATAAAAACTAACATTTTTTAAAACTAACAAAATTTAAAAGGAAAATAATAATAATTCAACCTAATTATTCCACAAGCTCCCCTTCCCACTTCTCCTTCACGGCAGCCTCCTTCCCAACCAAAAGGCCACAGCCCACAACAAACAACCCATCCCTCCTACCCCACCCTCGCCCTAAAACTCCCCTCCCTACTCTCTCTCTCTCTCTCTCTCTCTCTCTCTCTCTCTCTGCGCACAAACAATAGGCCAAGCTCTGCAAATCAATAACAAATTCAGCCATAACTACGTTTGCCAAGTTTGATCTTACTAGCACAAAGAAACAAAAAAAGGAAAAGGACATGATTGCTAGGTTTTAATGTATTAGAGAACTAGGGTATGTTTAGCACTCTTGAGCATATCTTCCACTTTTCGTAAGACTTCACCTTGAATTGCAAATTGGTATTGGAGGAGAAAGATGTTGGGGGAGGCGAGAGATGATATGCTTGATTTTTTTTCAATTATAATATGAATTGACTTAACGAAAATCTTAACGGAATTACACGGAGGTGATAAATTGCTATACTTTATACAGTTTAGGTGATTAATAATTAAAATTAAAAGTTTAGTTGGTAACCGCTGCTCTTATAGAAAATCTAAATTTAGAAGATAAGGATGGTGTTGATTCTGTTACGAATGATGACCATGAATCTATTGTCCAAGTTGATATTATAGAGCGTTGAGAATGTGCCATGGTAAAGGAGAATTTGATAGCACTTGAAAAACCGTATACCGCTATTATATTTTTCTATAACATTTCTGATTGCTGTCTATGTGGAATCATGTGTATGTGAAATTTGTTTGTCTGTATGTACATCAATATAAGTTTTTTTTTTTTTTTTTTTTTTTTTTTTTTTTTTTTTTTTTGTTTGGATGATTTTTAATATTTTTTTACTTCTCTTATGAAATTTTCAAAAAGGATAATGTTTCTTCTTTTCGGAATACCATTTCTCAATTGCTTCCAAATTTCGATGACAAAATGTATTTTTAAGAAGGTAGATAGTCTGATATCCAAATTGTGCTAGCTTGTGTCCCTCTTCCGTTCCCTCTCTATTGGTTGAGTTCATCTACATTCGTATCGATCCGTATTTTAACCAAGGACGGCCTTCTAGGTCCTCAATAGCCCTTGTATTTTGGTTGGCTATCACATGTTCATGTGTTTTTCCCATCTTCCACACACAAAAAAAGGAACTCAAAAAAAAAATTCAACGGTTCTAGCCAAGTGGAAAAGGGCCTTAACTTGTAGACTAGTGGCCTCAAGTTTGAACCCTCATGACACCATAGTAATGTGTGTATGTGAAATTCCCCTCTCCTCTAATTTAGACTATTGCTAATGCTAAAAAAAACACTCTATTTTAGCACTAAAACAACTACACAAGCAAGAATAGCTATCACAAATTCACAAGCAACAATACCAATAAATACACATGAAATGTCAAGACTACCCCTCATTTATGTGCATTTAGTGCTGATTTTGCTTATGAAGTTGTGATGATGGCATTCTCACTCATGGTACCTGTTTTAGTCAAAGAAGGGTTCCAAAGGAGGATGGATAATTTTTCAGTATCTAGAAGAACAATTGTGATAGACATATGTTTCATGAGGAAGTCATAAAATTAAAATTAAAACATATGTGCTAAAATAAGCCAAGGCACTTGTATCACAATATTATTTCTGTATCATTAAAACATATGGAAATGAACTCTCCAAAGCTCTCTGCTCTTTATATGTTGAGCAAAAGCATCTCCAACAAGTACTGTTAAATAAATTGCCAACTAAATGCAACAAAGATGTTTAATTAAACATATATATAATATTTTAAGGTACCTCTTGTGTAATTTTCAAAATCTACCATCCTAGGCCATTATGAAGATGATGAGTTGCCAAATCTCTGTTTCCATTCACATCTCCGCTCTCATTAATCCTACTCAAATTGTAAGCCCCAGCACTCACCAAATTGTAGTTTTGAGCCACTTCTTGTTGTTGCTGTTGTCCCTCAAGAAAATAGAAGCCACCATTGAAAAGATCCACCTTGGAGTTTGACATAGAAATATTATTGGCATTAAGAACTGTGTTCATTTGCTCATTGTTAGAACCATGCTGCAGATTGGTGTTTGAAGTGTTGTGATGTTGCTGCTGTTGTTGAGAAGGGTCTTCTTCTTGTCTAGTCATGGAGTTCTTCTCCCCCTCAGTCTCCCTATACTTGTTGAGGTACCCTTTCAAGGGTCCTACGTAATTCTCAAATCCCAGGGTTGTCATGGCCCAAAGAAGGTCATCTCCATTGATAGTCTTCCTCTTCTCCCTCAGGCACTTGTCAGACGCTTCGCCCGTGATGAAGCTTATGAACTCAGACACACACTCCTGGACGGTTTCCTTGGCCTCCTTTGAGATCTTGGCATTTGCAGGTAGGGACTTCTTCATGATACGGCTCACGTTAGCAATGGGGAGGAGCCTGTCTTGATCTTTGGAAGAGCCGTCTGAGACATTCCCAGACAAAGGGCTTCCAACCGGGCTGGTTTGGTTTCTTCTTCCACTCATAGAGTTAAGTTCAGAGTGATTGTGTGAAATAGAAAAGGGAAATGCAAGTGAAGGAAAATGTGTACTGGTTTTTCTTTTTCTTCTTTTTTCTTTCTTGTGACAAGTGTTTGTTGTGGAATCTGAGGGGAAGAGTTTGGGGTTTTAAAGCTAGCAGAAGTGGGGGAAAAAGGAAGCAAAATATAGATTATTGTTTATTTTATGTTTGGTAAAAAAAAATTAAATAAAAAAGAGAGTGGAGAGGCGGTTTGATGTGGACAAAAAAGAAAAACAAACACTGGGAGATTAGAACAACTGCAAAGGATGGTGTGGGAAGGTGTGGAATCTTTGGAGGAAGAAGGAAAAAAAAACTACGTGTGGTGTTAAATAATAACAAAAGAAAATCAATAATGAATTGATACTGTGACCTTTTCTGGTATGGAAGTTCCATGGGACCAAGAAGAAGAATTGGAGGTAGGACATGAAAAATAAGCAAACTCTTCCCAAATATATGTATTGGTTCTCCTTTAATCTGTTTGATTTTCATTTGTTTGCTATATGCATTGCAGGTCCTTTTCTCCTCTACCTTTGACTATAATTTAAAATTCAAATGGAATGGCAATGGAAAAATATAAAGCCTGCACGGGAGACCTTAAATTTGTTTGAACATGTCCAATAGGTGCAGTGTGTAATAAGCTATCACTGCCGGAACTGACCTCAACTTCAATTTCTTCCCGGCATGTCTTTCTTAACCTACAGTTTGATCTCAACTACTTAATTAGAAATTTATATATATATCGCTTGTGTGCACCTCTGCATCCGAGGTCACATGTTCGATTTTCCCTAAACATTGGTTGTATAAAAATAAAATAAAAATAAAGAGAGCAGAACCCATTGCGCTGATATACAAGTCACATTGCCTCTTTTCTCAAGTGTTATTTGCTTGTATTGAATTAATTAATTAATTACTTGCCTCTCTACCATTGACACTCCCTCCATCTACCCTATGGTTGCTGAACCAATAAGTATAAAACACCTAAGTCTAGCAGTTGAGAACCCCAACTGTCTTAAGGCCTCCTGGGAAAAAAAAAACCTTTTCTTTTAACAGGGATAACACTGTTTTGCTAATCCTGACCAATAATACAATGACATGTGGAAAATTTATCTCATGTGTCATTGTGTTATAGGCTGGAAATAGCTAAAAGTGCTACTTCGTTGTATGAGAGTTTCTCTCTTTATTGGCACCAACCAGTGCACGTAACACATCAATGTGCGCGACAGTTTACACGCCTTGTTGTCAACCAAGGAATCAGCCACATCATCAACCAGTTGGCCTTGTCTCTAGCTAGGCCCTTCTTCAGTGCTAAGTAACAAATATAGGTGGCATATATCCTGAATAAAAGTTTTGGTACATTCATAGGAGCCAGAAACCATCCCATGTTCCTGTCTTCAACAATCTTTGGAGATATTTTGTTGATCAATTTTAGACTTCAATTTACTGACCATAATAAAAATAAAAAAACTGAAAAATCTTTAGACTTCAATTTATACCAATGGATCATGGAAATATCTTCTGTTCTTCTGTAATGGAGGACTTGGTATCTTTGTGCGGCTTAAAAAGGCAAAGGAAAAATAGGGAGGCGCATATAATGCTTAGCTTAGCCCTCTTCCTCTATGTCTTTCCAAGATTCCCTCTTGTCACATCTATAGACGTAAAGACTATCTTCTGCCTGCCACTCTCAATCTCTCAAGGCAAGCAATTGGATCCCTCTAATCTCAGTTTAATTCAGTAGCTTCCTCCTAATTAGTTAAACTTGCCTCTTAGTAGAGCTCTTTGTGCACGTTTAAGATTTTTCTTATTGTGTACAAAGGGTTAGTAGCTCAAGTAGTTAAGAGCAGTTACTCATACATCCGAGGTCATGCTTTTTTTATCACGTGTTCATCCGCTATTCCTTACAATTAAAGATTATTACTTATTGGAAATGAGTGCTCAAACTAATTAAGTCCAAATTACATCCAAATTACACAGTTTATCATGTAAAAGGATTGTAATTTAAATAGTTAAGAATATTTACTATTTACTCTAAGTCGTGTGTTCGATTGTCCTGTCTTAATATAGCTTTGATTCTGAAATGTGCGATTCTGCAGTCTCCCAATCCATCATATTAAATTTAGCAAATGATTGCTTGTACTTGCTTAATTAGTTTAATACATTACTATACCTGTCGTCCCTTTTCTGTTCTTGGTCAAGTAATTGTATTTTAATTTGGTTCAGTTCATGGATAATCACCACCTATAACTTTTAAAAACAGTATACCTTACAATAAAAATCTGAATAAACTAAATAATAAGCATAAAAATACACTCAATAAATACCTTTTGATCAGGCTTGCGACAAATGGCTTCTTAAGGAACCGCCTCTCTACCTATATGCCTCCTCTCTGTAATTTTGGACATGTCTATGTGCACGCTGACTCGGTGACTTGCAGTCCCGCTAGTCCCGCTAATGAACTGAAAAAATAATACGAGTTCTAAGATTGATTAGTATACGAGAGTTCATTATTTTATATTGGTTTTCTCCATCATTCACACGACAACTATAGCAGCTAAAGATTAGGTAATAGGGCTTGACAATTAAGGTTGCAGCAGGATCAATCCTGCATTATATTAAGCTAATTTGTACAAACACAAATTTTAAGCTCTATAATATATCAGATCACTTGTTGGGTCAATATGTCTCGTAAAATCCAAACGGTACGTAAGATATAGCCCAACACAAGAATTCTATAATGAGAACCTTATATATGGCTCTTAGGTAAGGTTCTATCTTTTAGCCGTTGAATCAAATTAATTAGCTTGATTCAACAGTTAAGAAATAAAACCTTACCTAAGGGCTATGTATAAGGCCTTCACTATAAAATGACTCTAGCCCGAGAAGGTTATCCTCAACCCAAACGTTTACAAACAGTTAAGCGAGATTTAAACATGCATGATCGCTCTGCCCACTAAACAATTAGCCACCCAATAAATATGAGTCATTCAATTGAATTACATCGTCCTCCCCCTAAGCCAAACGGCTAGCCGGCAAGATGAGCGGGGGATAAAGAGGCTCAAATCAATTCGGTGACACACGCCACATGCTAACCCACAATATAGAGCAACCAAGCTCAGCGGAAACAATATAAATAGCCAAGACTATGAAGTACTCTATAATTAAGCTAATAATGAAGCTTATTGGGAATCTATTTCCCATCAATTATTTGAAGAAAAACAAGATGATTTGGCACCATCCGGAAAATTAAAAAGCAAGAAACCTATCATTTTCAAATTGTCCAAGTCAACATCAAAGAGTTTGTCATCCTACGGAGAACATGCAAGAAGACTGTCAAGTCATTTTAAGTTTGGGAGGTTACACTATATATAAAAAAAATATATAAATTAAAAAAAAAAAAAAAAAAAAAAAAAAAATAAAATATGAAATAGACTTTAGAAACACACCCAAACTCCATTTACAACATAACAAAAAGAATTTTAACTTCTTTTAAATTACAAAACTGAAAAACCCAAAACACTCAATAGGGTATCAAAGTAATTTAATAATCAAAATTAAATTCAATAGGACAAGCTATCATTTTTTGGATTTTTTTGGGGTTTTTTTTATAGAAATAAAATGGTGTAAGATTTATCTATATTATTAATGCTAAGAATAAGTATATAACTAAATATCTCTTTTAATAATGCCCCGACATGTTTTGACCATTAAAAGAAGAAAAAAAAGAAAAGCATATGAGCTAGACAGAGAGAAGGAAAATGTCTTGGCAGCTCGTGAGCCAACAAGGCTGGAGTGCTTTTCAAATCGTGTCCGGTTCTTTTCATTTTGGCTTGCTTAATGGCAGTATGGGAATGTTAATTCTCACAAAAATTAAATGGAGTACCGGTTCATCAATATGTTCTCCACCTTAGAAGAACATTGTACCCAAGGCAAGTCGAATTTCGAATGGGAATTAATCTCACTCTTCGGATGTGATGACATTTTGTGGTATTTATCAAAAAATATATCCTCTACCTGAAGGCTAAAAAAAATATTTAGAAAATGTATACTTAATTAAACTGTGGACTGGCGATATTTATCATCCGTTTTCAATTTTGTAAAACAAAAAATAAAACTTGTTTTTTTAGTAAAAAAAAAAAAATGTTAATATACATATTAACAGTTAAAAAAAAAAAATTGCAAACCAAATGGATGGTCACTTTACAGATTTTTTTATTTTGGATCAGGATGGTTACTTTACAGTTATTTCTTGCATACGTTATTGTAAAAAAGATTTATTTGTGGGTCCGTAAAAAAGAAAAAGGCAAAAAAAAAGGTTATTTATTGGAAAATAAAAAGTACTTTGAAAGGTTGACTTTGTGTTGTCGTGGTTCTCCCGCCGCTAGTTCTGACTCTCCAGAGAAAAACAGCCCACCCCCCTTCTCGTTTCCTCCCTCCTTTCCTCCTCTCTCTCTCTCTCTCTCTCTCTCTTCGATCACTTTTTAGAGAAGAAGAAGTAGAAAGCCTCTTTTACCTTGTACTCTCTCTCTCTCCCTCTTTCTCTTTCGGTCCTTCTGGGAAAGTCTCCCGTATTTCCCCAAATCTCAGGTGGTAGATTTATGGATTTGAGATGCAAAATTGGAGCGTGGGAGTTAGCCAAGTTTTTGAAAGTTATCAAATTTCCTGCAATTTGGGTGAATTCTCAGCCGTCAGATCGATTAACGCCTTGGAGTAATCTTCCCAAATAACACCTAAGTATCGGATTTCATATATATAAAGTAAGGTACTTTTGATGATGCTATCTTCATTCATGTTAATCTCGGGTCTCTCTTCTTCTTTTTTTTTTTTTTTTTTTTTTTTTTTTTTTTTTTTTTGTTTGAGTGAGTTTTTTTTTTTTTTTTTTTTTTTAGCTTTTTTTTTTTTTCTATATAGAGTTTGAACTCTGTGCTTGAAATTCTGCTCTTTTATATGGATTTTTTTTTAAAACTCATTGAAGCCTTTATATGCAGTATAATTATGTGTAAACGCAACCCATTCCTTTTTTTTTCTCCCACAAATCTTAATTTTAAACCACGACTTGCTTTTACTCACACTCGTTGTGTATTTATTCTGTTCAAGAATTTTGATTATGAAGTGAGAAAGCTTTTGGATTTGTAATTTTATGATCACTTGCATGCCATGTCTCCGAGAAATCTATATCTCTGAGTTTTTGGTATGTTGTGTGCAAGTTATAGACTTGTCCTGGTAGCAAAATGACTTGGACCGAAATTTTTTTTGACATCATTTTGTTACTTGGCTTGAGAAGACTGTTGCTTCTATATGTTTATGTAGGAAGATGTCACGGAGGCGGGCTAAGTCTGGTGGTTGGGCTGCCTTTGACCTTAAGCAGCGCCAGAAACAAGGCCTTGAGCCTCAAACTGACACGGACCATTTCCCACCTATACTGCATCCTTGCGAAAACGTATCAAGGAATAATGACCTTTCAGGCAGGCCTTTCTCTTGTGTACTCCATCCTGTAGATTTTCCAACTTCGACAGAGAATAGGGATGGCAAAAGACCCTTATTATATGGTGATTCTAGTGGCACTTCCATGGAAGATAATAGATCTACCAAGAAGAAGATCATGGATCTTTACCCTTGGGCTGACGATGGCTTGATTGAGGATATTATGGCTGCAGTGGGTGATGATATTACTAAGGCCTCAACATTATTGAAAGCAATGGTTTCCCCCAGCAGCTTTGAAGAGAATAAGGAAACTGACATTTCAAAAATAAATTCCAATTCAGATATTTATCAAATTGATCAAACAAAGCATACAAGTTTTCCTCCAGAATCTGCTGCTGACATAGCTGACCTCAACTCTACTTTTGAGAAATGTCTGGAAGAGAATAACATTGAATTGTTAAATGCCCATGATTTCTGTGGGAAAAAGCTCCCTAATGATGCTGCAACTACGAAACTAACTCTGGGGAGTTTGGAGTCAGTACCCGTTGAACCTGAGTGGGAAGAGGATGATGTTTACTTGAGGCATCGAAAAGATGCATTAAGAATGATGAGGTATGCATGCTGTTCATGAATTTGCAGGATCTCCTATTAGATAAGGATCTGTTTTTGCATACTCTATGGTAGCATTGAAATTTTCCTTGTCTTAAATAAACAGGTCAGCATCTCAGCACTCTAAGGCTGCCACTAATGCCTTTGTAAGAGGTGACCATTTTTCTGCCCAACGACACTCAAACAAGGCTCGAGAGGAATGGTTGGCGGCTGAAAGCCTTAATAACAAGGCAGCCAAAAAAATTTTAAATATCAGGAATAGCAAAAATGATGTATGGAAACTGGATCTACATGGTCTTCATGTATCAGAAGCAATTCAAGCCCTGCGTGAACACCTGCAGCGAATTGAAACCAAAGTTCTATCTAATCATTCAGTGTCACCAAACAAAGTTAGGATGGAAAAGAGGATTATACGTTCTTCGTCACTTGAGTCTTTTAATTGTATGGACACAGAGAAATTGGATCAACAAAAGGCACCATCAACACAAAGACCAACATCCTTGCAAGTTATCACAGGTATTTTGTTTAATTTAACGCTGTTTATAGTTTTATATGACATAATAAACAAAATCGCTAAGCATTTAAAAGTATATGTTTGCTGCTTTTCGTATGCTTAAGTACCAATATTTGAATACACTTTAAATGACCTCATTTATCAATATGAATTGTCGTTGAGTAATCCTTAGCTAGCATTACTGCATGAATTTCTTGCAGTAAATTTGTGTGTGATTTTGTGGTAATTAGTCAGTTTTATAAAAAAATTTTGGTCAAAAATTATCTTCATGTCTCAAATCCTAGTTTTTGGATTTTATACTTTATGTTGACATAGGATTATTTAGGACAAACTTGTTTGTTTTTTTGGCCTTTTGTTTTTTGTTTTTTGTTTTTTTCTTCATGAACAACTTATTCAATGGGATCAGGGTTCCTTTCCTTCCCTTGTAGAATTAGGATTCCAGTGAAGGCAACTTTTAAATAAACACATAAGGGAATCACTTAACCCCAATTGAATAAGTTGAGCTAGATTCTGATCATTACAATGTCTTGTTTAGAGTTAGGATGGGAATGTGTTACTCCTAATTGGCTAACAGTTATAGTATGCAACTGAGTTCTGTGTTTGTATTTGCAGGTATAGGTAATCATAGCCGAGGACAGGCTGCACTTCCAACAGCTGTGAGAAGTTTCCTCAACGATAACGGGTGATGCATCTTTCCTCTGTGCAAATGCACTTATAATTGACAGAATGGATCCTATTTTTCTTTAGTTTCTTGATATGTTTGGGTCTAATAAGCTAGCAGTGGTATAGTTTAGTTAGTTTGTGTAAATGATGAAATTTTTTGTATTGCAGATATCGTTTTGAAGAGTTGAGGCCAGGTGTAATCACTGTTCGACCCAAGTTTCGTCATAGGTGATTCATCAAGTAACCAAATCAGTGATGATGTAAAATATGTTATTGCAGAACAGAGTCTTCTGCACTTAATTCTTTAGACTAATTCATGCCCAATAGAAATCAGGCAGTTTCCTTCTCGTTATTGGAAACATATTTATGCGATCAGGTGTAAAGATTTAGTTTTGTATGATTAATAAGTAAGATACTTGTATCAGAAGTTATGTGTTGAGTTTAAAGTAAATGCATCTCATTTCTAGATATCGATCCCCTTGCCGGGTACCAAGTACCATCCAGGTGTTGGTAGTAGTAGAGACGGTGGTGTTGGTGGTGTACACTGTTGTTTTCTTTTCTTAAAATTCTCGTTTATGTTGTAATTTTAGAAATAACAACTCTTTATATGAAATTTAAAGTTGAAATTTATAACTTCTAAATTCTAAGTTTATTTCTCACATGTAGTCTTTCTTTATGAATACAAACAAGATAATTGGCATGTGTCAATATAAAAAGGAAAATGCTAGAGTCACCAACTTTGGGCACCAACTCTCTAATAGAGCGTGGGACTCGGTGTATTGGTGGGCTCCACCTCTATTAGAGAGTTGGTGCCCAAAGTTGGTGCCTCTAGCACCACTGATATAAAAATTCTGACTTTTATCCAGATTTCAAGTTTATTTCTCTCGTTCAAGTGCATAGTAAAGAGTTAAAGCCTTAATATCACAAAATGTCTCTAAGGTTTACGAAACTATCAGATTTTTTTTTTTTTTTTTTTTTTTTTTTTGGTGTTCATCATCGTCGGTCAAGGTTAATAAGATATGTTTTTTTTTAATGATAGTTTTATATACCCTTTGGTGATATTATAAATAAAATAAAACTATTAAACGGGGGGAATAAAAAAGAAAAAAAAAAAAAAAAAAAAAAAAAAAAAAAAAAAAAACCTACCAAAGCTCAATGTTTTTTTTTGAGGTTCAAAACAAAACCAAAACATAAGCACTGAACTAAATTGTTCTTTTTGGACACCGAATCTTTGCAGTCTCACAAATTTCTTGGCCTGACACGTAAGCGTGGAAGTGTCCAAAGCAATCTCATGCTTACAAACAAAAATACCTTTGTGGCGCGACACGGCCCGCGAGAGTTCTCGCAACCAATGAGGAGCCTCCGTTCTCCAAAACACTCATCCTCCCAATTGCCACGTGTCCTCCCCACCTCCACCCCTTTCCCTCCCTTTTCTTTATTTCTGTTTCGCCCCTTCACAAAATAACCTTATTTTCCTCATTTTCATCTTCCTCCCACTCCAGCAGACTTTCTGTCTTCTTCTTCTTCTTCTTCTTCTTCGTTCTCTTTCTCTCTCTGGCCATGAAAATTGGGGCTTAGGGTTTGATCAAATTCTAGATTCTTTCCAACAATGGCTACTTGCTCTCTACCTATTCCGGAACTCACCTTTCTCTCACCGCAAACCACTCCCAAACGCCGCCTTTCTGTTTCAAGAGTTTCTCTTTCTAAAATCTCTCTCTCCGGATACCCGAGGTGTGGTATTCAGTCCCGAATCAGAGCGATTAAAGAGGACGGGCTTGTAGTTGAAGAGAGGGAAGCCGAATTGATCAAGAAAGTGAATGGCGTGGAGTTGAGTGGAAATGGAGCTGGTGTTAGTACTAGTGGTAGCAGTTACGGGAGCAATGGCTCAGTGAAGAAGTACTCGAATGGCAGTGTGAATGGGGTGAGTAATGGGAGCTTGGTGAAGTTCGTGAATGGCAATGGCGTGGCAGCGGAAGTGGTGGAAGAAGTTGAAGTTTTGGAGTCGAAGGAGGAAGGAAGGAAGAAGAATATTGAAGAAATTGGAAAGGAAGATGCGTGGTTTAAGCGAACAGGGCAACCAAAAGTCGAGGTATGATTCCATGATGTTGATTTATTGGTGTTCCATTGGGTTGTCTTTGAGGAAGTGTCTGAACTTGGAAACTAAGTTAGTATTTTGAACTTGGAGTTGGTAAGAAAACTTCAATTTTGAATGTAGATGCGAGATGTCGATATAGGTTTGTGGAATATTGATTGAAACCCAAACTGGTTAGGTTGCACAAACAGAAAAATTATTGATCTACATTTGGAATTTGTGGACTAGAATTGCAATTTATAGTACCCGAGGCTTTGCGACCTAAAATGCAGTTTCAATGCTGTCATGTTACTCCCTATACAAAAAATGCGTCATCTTACTTAAGATGTAGGGAGAAGTTATAAAATTGAGCAACCTATGGGGTAGTGGTTCCAATGGCATAGTAAGATGATATTTTTCTTATTACTATTTTAGAGATCATAATCTTTCCATTATTTTTTTCTCTGTACTTTTCATTAGGGTTACAAATATTACCATTTTCGGTATCTGTTCTTTTGGTTGATTGCAACCCTTAATTGTTAGGGTTTAGGGTTTCAATTCTAGCCTGAATTGTTTTATATAGCATTCAAGCAGTATCTAGTAAGGAAACAATCATTGACAAAGTATTCATAGTAATACTGATGGTTTAAGTTACTCTTGAACTGGCCCGATTTTATGGTATGGGGATGGGATGTAAGGTGGTTAACAAGAGAAATAGAAACTGAAACAAAAGTGGTTCAGGAAAATCTTTTTAAGGAGATCGTTGATCTTGATAGAGGTCCAGTTCAGGCTTTAATGATAAATAGATGCTTCTAGTACTTTATTGCAAACAATATTGCGTGTAAAGTAGCTTCATGCAAAGATTTCGAGTTTGCTGTATAATATTGAGATGGCTTAGTTTTCTAATTTTATAGGTTGCTTCCTTTGTATTTGAGTTTTGGTATGTGCACATGCGTGCCATATTATTATGGTACTATTTGGTTTTTGCAGGTTTCTGTTGCACCTGGTGGCCGTTGGAGTAGATTCAAAACTTACTCGACAATTCAGAGGACCTTGGAAATATGGGGATTTGTTCTAACATTCCTCATAAAGGCTTGGTTGAACAACAGAAAATTCACTTATAAAGGTTAGTCACTTCCAGTACAATGAAATTTTAAAAAGTCAAATGCATAAATTCTTCATTTTTACTTTCCAAGTGAGAAATAAACCAAAAATGTAAGAAGTATTTCAAACAGGGAAGTCCTTGCAAAGTGCATGTAATAACAGTTGTAGAGACTTATTCCCACATTCTATAAATGCTTTCTAATTCTACAATATATTAGATATTGAAGAGGAACAAGCTATTCAAGTTGGCAGCATTCACCCCCACGCTTTTTAGATATCATTTTGTGAAATTACGTATGACATTTAAAGAAACTGAGGGTAGCAGTGCTGTGGCAGCATCCATGTCATATGGGCATTGCCATGGAAAACACTCTAAAAAAAGGATGGGGTTCTGCCTTTGTGGCAGTGCTGACTCCCCCATGCAATATCTAGAAAAAGACAAACAAAAAATGATGGATGGGCTGAGCAGTTTGGGTATGATAATAACACTGCCTGATAGTTTTGTTTTTTGTTTCTCATAAAAGAATGGCTCACAGCAATTAAGTCTTCTCGGCATAAATTGATTTTTGTTGGAATCTAGAATCTTTTATCTAGGCATCCATCTTTAAGGTAGCTGGACTGTGTGGTATTTGGTGCTTGCATCTAATTTAAGGAAAACGAATGTTCAGGGGGAATGACAGAGGAAAAGAAAACCTTGAGGCGTAAGGCCCTTGCCAAGTGGTTGAAGGAGAACATTTTGAGATTAGGTCCAACATTCATCAAAATTGGCCAGCAGTTCTCCACAAGAGTGGACATTCTTGCTCAAGAATATGTTGATCAATTGTCAGAACTTCAGGTTGGAAATGCTTTAATTCAATGTCATTGAGATTGCATTATTCCTTCTGTATGCTTCTGTTCTTGTATCCTACTCCTAATGTGTAACTCTGTTAATTTCTTCCTGGTCAACAATTATTTGTTGGACATGAAGCCTTGCACTTGAGATGTGTTTTTATTTATTTATTTCACTCTCTTTGTTTAAAAGTTGGCCATGCAAGAAGATGGGATTTGTTAGGTGATAAACATAGATTTCTCCACCTTCTTACGTGCCTGGGTTGTGGCGCCAGGTGTTTTAATAAATAAACTTACTTATCAAAATTTGAATGGAAAAATTAGAGCTTTAGAGAAGGTAGAAGAAGAAATCACATTTTTATTTTCAGTACTTGATGACCTAAAATTGCATTTTGCTTAATATGGCAATCTAATAATTTTTGTATGGGTTAGTACTATACAGTGCTGATATATTATTACACATTTGACTCTAAGCATTCCGAATATGTAACTACATCATGAAATATATGTTTTTTTTTTAATCATGTAAACTAGCTTAGTGTCTAACTTTTATCCACGTTTGACTCTGAGCATGCCGAATATGTAACAACAACGTATGTTTTTTTAATCAACTAAACCTAGCTTAGCGTCTCAAATTTTCCCATTTGTTTTCTTTCGTTTCTACTTTTTATATTATACTATTTATCCAATCAGCTATTTAAAAGTAGAGGCAATTTCGTTTTTTTCTTATCCTTTCTCAAACATGCTCAGTTGCCTATCTGTAAATTGTTGATTCTTAAGGCATAACTAAGTCACAGTTTAATTTCAGGATCAAGTTCCTCCTTTCCCATCAGATACAGCTATTTCTATTGTTGAAGAAGAGCTTGGTGCTCCTTTGAAAGATATATTTGATCGGTTTGACTATGAACCAATAGCTGCTGCTAGTCTTGGTACTTCTTATTTCATTTCTATGATTTCTGACACTGAAATTTGTGCAATCAACATATTAATATTCCTTTTTCTTTAAAAGGAATGAGAAATCAGAAAATGAACCTATAGCTTAATTGTTTTTTGGTTATGAATTTGATAAGAGATGAAATATGAGAATGTGGTATCATCCCTTATGCAGGTCAGGTCCACCGTGCAAGATTGAAGGGACAGGAAGTTGTTGTTAAAGTACAGAGGCCTGGACTGAAGGATCTTTTCAATATTGATCTTAAGAACCTGAGGGTCAGTTTTTCATATTGGCTTACGATTCTAGATTAGTAACTAATTCTGGGTTTTTTTAATGTTTTATATTTGCTCACAAGAAGATTGGAACCTAGGATCTACCCTCACCCTACCCATCCATGCCAATTGAGCTAAGGTCATGGGCAATGCTCGGGGTAATTTAGGTTATCAATGATTTATCTTATCATGGTTGGATTCCTTTTTATGTTTTTTTCCCCACTTTGATTGACTTGCCAAAGTTGTGAATTTCCATTTTTTGTCTTTGTTGGCATACATGAATTTACTATGTGAACTGTATCATTAGAAACTGATAACGGTCTTGCTACTCAGTTTTGTTCTCTTGTGTGTATGTTCTTGTTTTACTTTGTTGTACATGAAACACAAAAGATTCCTCTTGATCTCATGAAGGTTATGGAAATTCTGATGAGCTTCGACATATTGGTCATTTTCTTTTCCAGGTAATTGCAGAATATCTTCAAAAAATTGACCCAAAGTCTGATGGTGCAAAGAGGGATTGGGTTGCTATCTATGATGAGTGCGCAAATGTCTTATATGAGGTATTGAGATCCCCCTTGATTGCTTTAACCTTTTCATTTGTAATACAGTTTTCGTATTACTATTTATTTAGTAGATGGGTAGCTAATAACTTTGAAGTTTTCCAGGAGATTGATTACACCAAGGAAGCTGCTAACTCTGAACTATTTGCAAGTAACTTCAGAAACATGGATTATGTTAAAGTCCCAACAATAGTATGGGAATACACTACACCACAGGTTTAAGCTTCCAGCAATAATTAATTTTTAGCTGGTAGAACATTAACAAGTTTGTTATTATGATTGTCTTTCTAAAGTCCAACTTCCTGCATTATTATTATTAGGTTCTGACAATGGAGTACGTCCCAGGGATCAAAATTAACAAGATAAAAGCTATAGATCAATTGGGCATTGATCGGCAAAGGTCAATATAATTTCATGTCTTATATATCCTGGTTAAAATCATGTTAACATGACCTCTTCTTATCACTCCTGATGCTTCTTATATCAATTTGAACTTCCTCAGGTTGGGTCGATATGCTGTTGAATCATACTTAGAGCAAATTCTGTCTCATGGATTTTTTCATGCCGATCCTGTGAGTTTTTGCTGTTTTATTCAATTTTTGGTGCTCACACATGTTTATGATGTCAATAAAAGTGGAATTTCATATGGAGTTTGAAGATTAAAAAAAGAAATCCCTCCAGTGGATTTTACTTGCACAAACCTCACCTCATACCAAGTAGAGGGCTGTGAGGGACCAACTTTCATGCTATTTTAGGTGTGAACGATGTGAGCATGGACACGAATAGTTTTGGTTCTATTGGCATAATAGAAGTGCAAAAAAAAGAAAAAAAAAGAAAAAAAAAGGTTGAAGAAAAAAGGGCGGAGCAGAAAAGCAGTATAGGGTCATAGCATCGATGGGTATAATGGCAAGGAGGTGGTGGTTCCAATAATAGGCTACAGCAACATCTGGTGGTAGTTGAAGAGATATGCCTGATTTTCTGTCAATAACTAATGGGGCAGTGGTATGGTAAAAGTACGGTAGCACCGATGTTGGTTTTATTGTTGGCTGAGATAGTGGTTATGTTTGTGCGGGTCCCAGGTTAGTCTTGATAGTGCTTTTGGCACTATGAGAGGGGGGTTTTTGCTTTAAAATTTCCATCTCTATTTGTTGCCTTGTATTTAATAATTAATACTGGGAAAACCTCACAAGTGTGATGTGGATGTGGATGTGGATGTAAGAGGAGTACCACTCCTAATCTATGGTAATAGTATTTGACATTATGCCCTCCTGTAGTTCCATTCTCACTGTGATTGTTCACTTACGCATCCTCAAGGAAAATACTAAACATGTCTGCTGTATTGTGTAGTCCAAAATGCAATCCCTGAGACAATTGTGTCATAAGAGGAAAGAAATAATGAGCATAATACTTAAACGAAACAGGTCGTTCTTAGATGCATAGGTAATCCCTCATGGCTGTCACATTGGAGTAATAATGATTAGATTCATGTTCTCTAATCTCCTAGCTGTAATATAGCCCATAGTGAGCTTTTCCGATTCCCACTTTCTCAAATTTATAGGGATCAATATTTATGTTGCACACGAAAAAGCTGCAGCGTTCCTGTTTCTTGATTACATATACTAGCATTTAATATCACCTGCCAATGTGTAACCACAACTTTGTTTTATCCTTGATGCAGCATCCTGGAAATATTGCCGTGGATGATGTCAATGGTGGAAGATTGATTTTTTATGATTTTGGAATGATGGGAAGGTATTTCCTTCTGTACTTCCTAATCTACAATTGACCAATAACCACTCTGAAGCTTTTATTTATTTCTGAATGTATTTTTCATATTTGTATCTTGCAGTATCAGTCCAAACATTAGAGAAGGTTTGCTAGAAACATTTTATGGAGTTTATGAGAAGGATCCAGATAAGGTTTTTTAATCGTTTCCTTTAGTTTTAATATTTGAAGGATAGTAGCCTCCGATCATGGTTAAGGCTATGAAATTACTAAATTAACTTGAATTAATTATACCATGGTTCCATTTTGTGTCTATGATCCACCAATTGATGGAAAGTATTTATACTGGTGCAGGTCCTTCAGGCAATGATTCAGATGGGTGTTCTTGTGCCTACTGGAGATATGACAGCTGTGAGACGAACAGCACTATTCTTTCTTAACAGGTGCTTTCGATAGAGAGGAAACAGAGAATTTGAATATAGCATGGGTCCCTTTTTCGCTTATTAATATTTTTGTTTAGTGGTTTGTTTTTGGGTTAAAATTTTAAATTCCCTGATGTTTGAGCAATTCAAGAGCTACTTGGCCAATAATGCTTCTGTGGCAAATCAGAATTATATAAATATGACTGGTAGTGCTACATAAACTTGCAACGTGCAACATAAGACCAACTATATCATCTTTTGGTTTGAGTGGAGTTTTTGTTTAGGTTGGTATGCTGTCATGCTTGCATCAGTCATGAACGAACGATTCTATTATTTCTGTTGTTGTAAATTGTCTTATGGGCTGGGGCGTAATTTTCATTGACTGACAGCCAGTTATCCTTGGATGTAAGCAAGATGTTAGGTTAAAACATACCTTGTTTACTTTGATTAGTGATTCCAAAGTGAGAGGTAGATAAGTCTCAGCGGAACAAGTTTCAAATCTTTACTCTATTTCTTGAATTCTTTTCTGAATGCTCAAATTTTGCAGTTTTGAAGAGCGTCTTGCTGCACAGAGAAAAGAGAAAGAAATGGCAACAGCGGAACTTGGGTTTAAAAAGCCATTGAGCAAGGAGGAAAGGATAGAGAAAAAGAAGGAAAGGCTTGCTGCAATTGGTAATTCACCTGTTTTGAAATCTAGTATCCATGATATGGCTCTATACCTGACTATAGTTTTGGAATTTCGCAACTAACTATTTGATTTGGAGGCTCAGCTCAGTTTGCAATCAATAGCATGATAAGCATGAGAGTTTAAGTCAAGTCCTGCATTTAAAGGCATTTTTTTGCCAATAGAAATAATTGTATATAGCTTTACAGTGTCCAGCTTCTTGTTTAATTTAGTAATAAGAACTGCTTTCGAGTGGCTGATCATTTATACTGGGACCAATTCATGGCATGTCTAGTTTGAGACAGAGTCAGGAAAGTCTCTAAGATCAAACAGTAGTTTAAAAGACTTCTCAGTCCATATGTATGTATAAGTTAGTATGTAATGTGACCCGCTTACTTTATTTGGTTTACAATTGAATAAATAAATTAACGAACACTGGATCCTCTATTCATATCTCAAATATTTTCTGATTTGGCTAGACTTTATTCTTTTTAGTTCCTTATTGAGTAAAGTCCAAATAATATTTTGGGGTTTTCCCTATCTATGGCCTACAGATATGAAGTTATGAAACTAGTTATTTAGGCCTTTGGGTAAAGTTCAGCCACCTGGGCTTATTAAAATGATATGTGTGATCAGGGGTCTTATGAGTTAAACGTGTTTACGTACCAAGTTTTCTTGCCTGATTGTGTTAACATTTCTTTTTTAAATTATGTAAAATTTGAGTCTGGGCTTTAACTGTAATTAAGGGTAAGCGGTTTTTGTCCAGTAGCTGGATTTCCCAATCTGAGATTAGTTAGTTGTGATAAGTTTCCACAGAAATTGATGCAACACATATCTTATTGCACGTTTTTCCACTGCATATTGATGCCTGCTACTTGTACCTTGCATTCCTTTTAACAGGGGAAGATTTATTAGCCATTGCAGCAGACCAACCCTTCAGATTTCCTGCAACATTCACATTTGTTGTTAGAGCATTTTCAGGTAATGTAATAGGAATATGGCGGAGACATTTTTCATAGGAGAAAGAATGTATATATGCATGCATTTTACATTGCTTATTGCACATGTTTATATATCTCATCTCTAATTAGATTTATTTATTCTCTGTTTTCAGTATTGGATGGGATTGGGAAGGGTCTTGATCCTCGATTTGATATTACTGAGATTGCCAAGCCGTGAGTATAATTTTAGGTTTTATATAATTTCAAAGTATTTTCATCGAAACCCTCTAAGGTTGTGCAAGTTTTACTACCCTTTGTTTTTGACAAATCTTGGATGCTCTGCCTTGTAGCTACGCACTGGAATTGCTAAAATTTCGTGAAGCTGGAGTTGAAGTCATTCTAAAGGCAAGCTTGGACCATCTGTATTAAAATGTCTTATAGTACAATGTTCTAATACAAACCACGTATTCTTACACTCAAACTTATAAATGTTCCAGGACCTCCGAAATAGATGGGACAGGCAGTCTCGTGCATTCTATAACTTATTTAGACAGGCTGACAGAGTTGAAAAGCTTGCCGAAATTATTCAAAGATTGGTACCAATTAATTTATTCTGTGCACTAATAATATGACTGAATATTTGTTATAATTTCTCACTTGTGGATGTCCGTGATTTATTTATAGGAGCAAGGCGATCTGAAACTTAGAGTTCGGACTTTGGAATCTGAGAGGGCATTCCAGCGGGTCGCAACAGTTCAGAAGACTGTAGGAAATGTGAGTTCTGCTGGCTCATGATCTAGTGTTGCACATATCATACTTATCTTTTGGGGAATTTGTTTCTATGCATAGTAACCTTTTATGATTTAAATTGTCTTTTGTTTATGCGGTTCCATCAGCTATAGACAAAAGATAGTTGCTAAAGGCTTATTGAGCTTTGGCTCTTTCCTCCCATCCCCAAGCACTAGTGGATTTCACTTCAATGATTTATCAACATTTTCTAAATGCACCAAGTTATTTGGATGATAAGTGTAACATATCTAGATATCAAATATACCAGCTTTCCTAGTAACATTATTGAATGACATTTAAAATGAAGCACTTTGATAGCCATAGAAGAAAGAAAGTTTGGTCACTTTTCTGAGTGTCGTCTTAAGTTCTTAACTAAGTACACATGTACAGTTTCTGTATCTCTCTTATCTGCTACATCTTATGTCAGAATTTTTTTTCAAAATAAAAAAGAAACGTACTTTAGTTATATGCATTGTTTACTTCAACTAGTTGAACAGCTCATTAGACAGAATATTGTGTCAATGTTTGTCTGTGTCATTTGGGAGTAATGGCATGCCCAACATAGGCAGGCCGGGTGAGACAGATGGACTGAAGCAATAGACATGCTTTAATGTGATTAACTGATTTAGTTTTGAATTCAAGCTGTGTGCGGGTAATTAGCTTTAAAGAATTAGTAATTGTACGTGAGAGTAAGCTGCTGTTTAATATGAGTCTAAAGATCTGTATGGTCTTGATAATAAGTTCAATGTCATAAATGATATTAGAATAAGTTTGAAATGGTTATAATAATACCTACTCCATTGATTTTGATCTTCAATATGACTAATTTGCAGGCAGTTGCTGCTGGAAGCCTAATAAATCTTGCAACAATCTTGTATATTAATTCCATTCGAGTAAGCTATCAAAATTGCTTTTGGTATATATGACATCGTGTTGCCTGTAGCCAAATTTTACTTAATGCTCATTTCTGATGCGTTCTATTTCTTTCCAGTTTCCTGCCATTGTAGCATATGTCTTCTGTGCATTTTTCGGCCTTCAGGTTCTCATAGGCATCATAAAGGTAAAGAAGTTTGATGAGCGGGAGAGGTTGATAACAGGAACTGCTTAAACAATTGGTGAGTGAAACTTATTCTATTGATCTTTGTCTCTGAAATTATTGAAGAGTCTTACCACAGTCATCAGAGGAAAAATATGTGGTCCATAAATGATTATTGTTAATTCTTTCAGAAACCAAATAGGCAAATACTGCTGTCCATAAAGGGTTAGATTCTTCGTAGTTGGTCTATTAATGTACAAGAATACTTGTGTGACTGCTATTTGCAACTATACAGTTCTGCTCATTTTATTATCCTATTCTATAGGCAGAGTGAATTGATCTACCTGTTCTTGCTGATAAACATGAAATGCTCCTTATTTTTATTCTCCTCATAATATGTACTGAAACGTTTGCTTTACATATTTTGTGGAACTTTCGGTCCATTTTTTCAATCTGTGATCCAGCTCACAGTTTACAAGTCAACCTTCTGATCCTCGAAGAGAATTAGGATCTTGGGATTACTGTAACACGGTACTTCTACCAACAATATGATTCTGAACTTCCAGCTCGCAGGTTTGTGATGCATGTTTAGATCCCGAACACAGGCTGTTCATCCAAAGTTTAATAAGAGTTGGTTTTATCTCTTTGTTAGGTTAGGTTGGCTATTGCCATTTTCTTGCCATTGTCCCCAAATTTATGTCTCCGCATGAAGATATGTCGTCATTTTTCAGGTTGATGACCGTATAGGGCAGCTTGTAGCCCAAATGTAGAGTTCTTTGTAACAATCTTGTAGCTAAGAGCCTCACAATGGCAGTCTGTGGTCTCCCATCAAAATTTGACGTGGTCGAATGTGCATATTTGTTGTATAATGGTGTATCATGTAGAGTTTTTGTTTTCTTTTTCTATATGTAAGCATGCAATAAGCATGCAACGTATAGCCATAATTGAATAAGAGTGTTCTTACAGTTTTTGAATCCGTGCAGCTTATCATGTAAGCTATAGTTGGCCGTCTTTGCATATAGCTGCAAGTTTATTTACTAAGACTTGTACTTTAAACATCAGTTGCTTTCTTTTTGTCCAAAGTGGAGGGAGTTGACTTTGCTATGTTCTATCTCTTGCACCAACAAAAAAGAGTGTATTTTACTTGCATTCTTTTTTAGGTGCCTTTTTAGGGGCTCTTGGGGTTTCCTAGAAAAGTACTTGGCAGTGTTTCATGAAGAAACACTTTATTAAATTTATGGAGGAACACGAGCTTAGCAAATGCTTCTCTAGAAATTTTATGACTCAGAACACTTTTTAAGTTTTCATGTCAAATATTGTCAGAACTGCTTTTGGTTGTCATTCTGCTTTTAGAACCGCTTTTGGTTGTCATTCCGCTTTTACCTCTTACAGAAGTAGTCTCAAACAAGCTTGACCGTTATTGATTGGCTAATTTAAAGTAACATTTGAAATAGTTAAGTATTGGCATCTTTTGTCCTTAAATTGCAAAACTTAATAAACATGATGAGTTGAATGACAACAATTGAAAATATAAGAATGGAACTTAGCCCAAACTAGAAGGATCAAAAGCATAATTTTGCCGACTTTTTTTTATAAATTTATTTAATAAGACAATGTGAATTCTTACATGCATGCATGAAGGATGATGCACGGTATATATGATTCAATTTTGAATAAGTGTTTATGGGTAGCACTTAAAAGCTGATTTCAAGAAGGCAGGAATATTAGTTAAAATGTTGTAATTTGACTCGAGTGCAAGAACTGATATGATTAATTAGTACAATAAGACAGGATATATATGTTCGAAAAGCTCATAATGGTCCCCAAGAATGCTTCTCAATTATCTTGTAAAGAATTCCACCTCGTAGACAAATGGCAGTTTGACATGTATTTCATTAAAATTATAAAATTAAAAAAAAATATATATATATATATACATACACATGTATCAAACTGCGATTTTTCTAAAAGAAAGAATAACTCATTACATGTACTGAGCTAAATATTTTCCTTCCGCTCATGTTCTCATGCATCTACCTCTCTCTCGAGTGAAATCTTCAGTAAACCACATATTGATCGAAGCCACGTCATCTGAACCCAGATTAGAGGGACAAAAATCAGAGAGTTAATCTCTTCATTCCACCACCCAAGAAGTGTGTCAAAATATTGATCAAGACAGGCCTTAATTTATAATCTCAACGTTGAAGTAAATATTAATTTATTTGTCCAAAATTGAGTGAGTTTTATGGTCAAAGTTATACACTAAATTCAAGATGAGTCAGATGCATCTGCTGGTGCTGGGCAAAAGAAAAACGAAATGATTTTTCTCGTATAGTTATGGCCATGCAAAGGACCAATTAGTGTAGTGGTTTGGAGTAATTACTCCCCCAGACAAGCTCTTATATTCAAGTCCTAGCATCCGTATTATGTGTGTGGGTTTAGTATATAAAAAAAATACTTAATGACATTATACTATAGCATACGTAAGATGCTTTCAAAACATAAAGTGCACAAGTACAATTGTAATTATTAATTAATTGCATAGAAAATACAAGAAATTATTTTGAGCACGCAATCAAACAACAATTCTCATAACGTAACATATGGAATCATTAAGACGACTTAGAATGAAAAAAAGAAACAAACATGGTAGTCTTGGAAGTAGTCTGCTCGCT